ATACACAATAACTCATAATGCTGAAAGAAAAAGAGTCAAAACAGAAGACCACATTCTGTATGATTCTCTTTATTAAAGTAGAATACAGGCATTACTCTAGGAGATGGATTGAAAAAGATATTGCTGCAACTTAAATGGGACCTAATCAAACTCAAAAGCTTTTGCACAGCAAAGGAAACCATAAACAGAATGAAAAGATAACTCACAGAGTGGGAGAAAATATTTGGAAATGATGTGACTGACAAGGGATTAGCCTCCACAAGCAGCTCATGTGGCTTAATATCAAAACAAACAACCCAATTAAAAAATGGGCAAAAGACCTAAATAGACATTTCTCCAAAGAAGATATACAGATGGCCAAGAGGCACACGAAAAGATGTTCAACATCACTAATTATTAGAGAAATGCAAATCAAAACTACAATGAGATATCACCTCACACCAGTCAAATGGCTATCATTAAAAAAATACACAAACAAAAAATGCTGGAGAGGGTATAGAGAGAAGAGAACCCTCCTACAGAGTTGGTTGGAATGTATATTGGTATAGTCACTGTGGAGAACAGTACGGCGGTTCCTTAAAAAACTAAAAATACAGCTACATGTGATTCTACAACCCCACTCTTGGGTATATACCCAGAGAAAAACATGGTGCAAAAAGATATATGCACCCCAATGTTCATTGCAACACTGTTTACAATAGCCAAGACATGGAAGCAACCTAAATGTCCATCGACAGAGGAATGGATAGAGAAGATGTGGAGCATATACACAATGGGATATTACTCAGCTGTTAAAAAATGAAATAAAGCCATTTGCAGCAATTCGATGGACTTAGATATTGTCATATTAAGTGAGGTAAGTCAGACAGAGAAAGAAATATCGTATGATATAGCTTATACGCAGAATGAAAAAAATGATACAAATGAACTTATTTACAAACAGACTCACAGACTTACAGAATGAATTTAAGGTTACCGGAGGGAAACGTAGAGCGGGAAGGAAGGGATAGTTAGGAAGTTTGCGATTGACATGTACACACTGCTTTATTTAAAATGAATAACCAAGAAGAAAAAACTTAATTAGAATTTTTTCTTGGTAATTTATTTTAAATAAAGCAGTGCCTGTAACCCCCTCATTGTTCAAGGCCAACTATATAATATTCTGAATTAGTTATCTATTGCTATGTAATACATTACTCCAAACTCGGGGGATTTAAAACAGCAAACATTTATCTGTCAGAATAGTAAGAGAGAATTATTGTATCACCAATAAAATTCTGCAAATACAATCCTCTTAAAATCTTTATAGTTCTCCTGTGAATCTTATTGATGTTAACTACATCACATGAAAGCCATATTCAGAAATATTATCGAGATAAACCCTTCTCTTCCTTGGGCTTCTTTGATCACTGAGAGTCTTATTGTTTAATGGAACCATTCTGAGGCAGTGCCTTAGCTCTTTCTTTAATGGAGGATCTATGTTTATATCCTTGGCTTTATTTTCAGACAGTAGTTTCTTGAGCATGCCTTAGATATGGTCTTCCCCTGGAAGCTGAGTTTTTTTTTGGCGGCATTGGGTCTTCCTTGCGCTATGCGGGCCTTCCCTCGCTGCAGTGCGCAGGAGGCTGCTCTTGTTTCCCTGTGCGGACTCCTCACTGCGGCGGCTTCTCTTGTGGAGCACCGGCTATGGAGCCCAGGCTTCAGCAGCTGCAGCACGTGGGCTAAGTAGTTGTGGTCCACTGGCTTAGTCGCGCCACAGCATGTGGACTCTTCCCGGACCAGGGATCAAACCCATGTCTCCTGCATTGGCAGGCGAATACTTATCTACTGCACCACCAAGGAAGTCCTGGAAGCCATTTTTTAAAGTTCTAGACTCACCGGTCCTTGGAGGGGCTAGGAAATTTCAAACCTAACAATCCCCAGGACTTTTTAAATTGGCATTCCTTTCTTTTGCTTATCTCTTTCTTTTCATACATATTCTACTAAACATGACAAGAAGAAACCTGGAGTCACCTTCAACATTCTGCTTGAAAATCTCAATGAGATCCCCAACTCATTAGGTATGTGTGCATACATGCTAAGTCGCTCAGTCGTGTTTGACTCTCTGCGACCCCATGGACTGTAGCCCACCAGGTTTTCTGTCCATGGGATTCTCCAGCAAGATTACTGGAGTGGGTTACCATGCCCTCCTCCAGGGGATCTTCCCGGCCCAGGGGTCCAATCTGCATCTCTTAACGTCTCCTGCATTGGCAGACAGGTTCTTTACCTGGGAAGCCCCTCAATTTCCCTACTTTCCCACTTTTCTTTATCAGCAGCCTCCTCAAAGGACATGAGGCTTCTACTAATATGCTCTTCAATATTCTTCAGTCTTTCACTAACACGCCTAGATTGCTTCCTGCTTCTACCCAAGACCCAGTTTCAAATCCATTCCCACATTTTTAGGGTTTTATTATGGCAGCACTTCATTTCTAGTATTTGGACAATCCTAGAAGCTAAAACCCACACTCAGGAGTCGACTATATATGTTGTTGTTTATTTTGCTTAACAGCTTTGGATATCATCCAGTAACAGTAGATCTAGATTAATCCAGTGTCCCACTGTCTGATTGAATCATATCTTTAAGATTTTAACTTACTAATACTTAAGATTTAAATGATTAATATTTTAATTGTTAATAGATTGGCCAATGGCTCTAAGCTGGGTCCATTTACACTCAAACAGTGTATGATAGTGACTATTTCTTCAAATGCTTGACCACTCGTGTTAGCAAACTGACCTTTACTAACTTGCTAAACAAAAACCATTTCATTGTTATTCTAATTTGGATTTTATTTCTTATGAATAGGGTCAAGTGTACATTCATACATTTGAAAAGCCATTTTTACTTTTTCCCTCAACTGCCTAATCACAATTTGTGCCCATTTGGGGGTGATTGATAATTTTTTGTTATTGATGTTTTATAGCTCTTAAGAAAAATAGACCTTTATCTGTCTTACATGTTGCACATATTTTTTCACAGTTTGCCATTTCTCAAGTTTGCTTATAGAAACTTCTTCACTCAAGCTTAATATTTCCTTTTATATCTTAGTTAGAGATCTCTTCCCCACTCCAAGATTATAAAAAAAAATAAACTCCATGAATTATTTTACTACGCTTTGTGGTTACATTTTTAATAATAAAATATTTGATACATCTGGAATTTACTTTGGTGTAGAGAGTGAGAATCTCACTTTTCCCTCCAGCTGATTAGTCATTTCTTTGTACACAGTTCATCCAATAACCCATCCTTCCCTCCCCCCTGCCCCCACATTTTCATTATGTTTTACATTTCTTATTATATATTTTTCCCTATTAAATTGTGACATCTTTTATTAGAATCATGGAACCACAGAACTTAGGGCAGCATCAAGAATCCAGGTACAGCTAGGGTAGTACAGGTCTGCAGCTTGCACGCGTCAGTACCACCAATCTAGGCACAGTTTGGGGTTTCTTCCCTTCTGCAAGTCTGCAACAAGGAGCAGTCAGAAGCAGCAGGCCCTTGAATTACCGAGTGTTTGTTACATCATTGAGTATCGTTAGATAACTGGGGTATGCGGGGGCTGGAGGGCGGGGGAGGCGAGGCTGGGAGGCAGGCTGTCAACTTGTCTTTGTTAGCTAGGCGGTCTTTATTTTCCAGTCTCGTCTGGGTTCCTTTATCTCACCCTAAGTATCCAAATCTTCCTTGAAATGGGGTTACAGGGCGTCCCCACCCCATCGCTTCCCAAAGCCCTTGTCGCCTGTCCTGGCCTACAGTCTCGATGGAAAGACGGCTCCGAACGAATAGGAATAGAGTGACTGGGATCGCGGTGGGGCGGGGGAGATGCCAGGGTTCGGAGGCAAAGGGCTGGCGGGGAGGGAGGGGGCGTGGAGAGAAGGACCTTCGTGCGTCGCTGGCTTCGCGCCCCCGCAGTGTCCTCCGCGCCCACCAGAAGGCGCCCCGGCGCTCTCATTCTCTGCGTGTAGCCGGACGCTCCGCCGCAATCAGCATCCGAGCCGAGCCGCCGCGATCTGAAAAGCCGGGCGGCGGCCCGGGCTCTCCCGGCCCGGCAAGTGGGACAGGGTCCCAGGGAACCCCGGATTTGTTTCTGGGATTGGGGTGCGGCGGTTTCTCGACTCCGATCCCCCAACCCCGCAGGAAACGCCCAGAACAACCCCAGCGCGGCGGTTTACAAAGCCCGGAGAGTCCAGAGGCGGGAGGGGTCGTGCGCGCTCGGGAGGCAGGAGGATCCCCCTCGCTCTCAGACTCACGCCCGGCTCCCCCATCAGGCCGCCTCCAGCCCCATGAGGACCCCCAGGCCGGGGCCGAGAGCCTGGCACAGCCCTGACCGAAATCTTGCGGCGGCCCTAGAGCGTTAAGACAGGTCAGTGCTGGGGCGGGACGCGGGACCGAGCCGGCGGCGGGAGGAGGCGCGCACTCCGGTCCACCTGGTCGCCCCGCGCGGCTTCGCGAGGCCACTCACGGGGTCACCTCCGCCGGGGCCACCCAGCAGCGCGGGCGTGATTCTGCATTTTTCATGACAGGCAAGGTGTGGCGCTGCCCTCTGTAGCCCACGCGGGCCAGGTGATGCTCGGACTGAGGGGGTGGGGGGTGCGTGGGCCAAGGGAGGCGGCGGGCTCCGGAACATCGGCTATTCTAATCAAACGGTGCTTTTTCTACTTACGAGCCGCCGCGTCGAAACCGCTACCTCCGAAGGTCTCTTGCTTCGTCGAGACCTCGGGCCTCGGGCGTGAAAGGAAAGCGAGGTGTGGGAGGGCGAGAAGAAAGGAGGCCCGGAGACCCGAGGCCCGGGGGGTGAGGGGAGGGGCACGAGGGCACCGATTCGCTATACGGATCCTGGCGCGCGAGATGCGGGAAGCCCCCGCCGGGCCGGCTGGAGTCTCCGGAACCGCGGGGGCCCAGAGTCTCAACCCACGCTTTCGCTGACCACCTGCTCACCCTCGCACTCCTTCGCCCACCCAGGATGCGGCTGGGCCGCCGGGCCCTCTGTGCGGCCGTCCTGCTGCTCGCCTGCGCCTCGCTGGGGCTCCTATACGCGAGCACCCGGGGCGCGCCGGGCCTCCGGGGACCTCTTGCGCTGTGGACGCCCCTACAGGGCAAGCCCAGGCCAGAACTGCTAGGTCTTGTCCCTGAGCCCAGATACGCACACATCCCGGTCAGGATCAAGGAGCAAGTGGTGGGGTGAGTGTGAGGATCGGGGTGACAGCGGGCGCTCGCTGGGGGTAGTCTGGGAAGCTTCTGTTTCCTCTGCTCTGATGCCTGGGTTCCCCGGACTGGTGGTGTGTGCGGCTGCGGGGGGCGGCAAGTGGGAGGTGGAGGGGGCTGCTGAGTCTTGTGCTTCGGGGGTGGGGAAGCGAGGGTTGCAATCACGGGAGGGCCCTGACTTTCTGAGTCCTGGCCATTCCCTGTGAAAGGAGTCCAGCTGGGGTCCTGATGGTGTGTAGGCAACTCTGAAACCTTAGCATTGGGTCTGTTCTACATCTCTGTAAAATCCAGATGTAGAGGACGGGTCATCCCACGGTGGTCCCTCCTCCGGGGGACTATGAAGAGCAGTGATTAAGGGGACAGATTTTGGATGAACAGGGTGGACCGGCCAAAGTGTGGGTGCTGTGTCAGCCTTCCGGAGGATGAGTGAGCTGTGTGGCTGGGCTCTGAGGACCCTTCCTCCCGGCTCCACAGGCTGCTGACTGCCAACAATTGCAGTTGCGAGTCCAGTGAGGGGAGCCTTCACCTCCCCTTCCAGCGGCAGGTCCAAGCCTTTGACTTCACCAAGGCCTTTGACCCTGAGGAGCTGAGCAGTGTGTCTGCCTCGAGGGAGCAGGAGTTCCAGGCCTTCCTTTCAAGGTACCCAGCGGAAAGGAGGGCGTGACTGCCTGTGGGGAGCAGTGGGAGGCTGGAGGCTCCCCTGACGCCCCCCGCCCTCCCGCTCCTCCACTGCCAGGAGCCGGTCTGCGGCCGACCAGCTGCTCATAGCCCCTGCCAACTGCCCGCTGCGGTACCCCCTGCAGGGCGTGGAGGTCCAGCCCCTCAAGAGCATCTTGGTGCCAGGTGGGGAGGAGGGTCCACGGGCAGGAGCCGACCCCCTGCGGGGGTGGCAGAGCCCAGGCTGGCAGAGGAGCAAGGAGGGGAGACGGAATGCCGGGGGGGTTTCCATGGAAGGGAAACTGGAGGCCAGGGAGGGCTCATGAGGTGGGAGATGGAGGATTGTGGGGAACTGCCGAAGACAGCTGGAGAGGTCTGGGGAGAAGGGTGTGTCTTGCTGACGGGCTGAAGTTAGATGGGCAGGCAGGGCAGGCCACACAAGACCCACTGCTTTGATAGGAAGGAGTGAGAAATCCTTACCCTGGGCTACGCCCTGCAGTGGGCCCTGCTGCGGCCTCAACAGGAGGGCTGCGTGAGAAGTCCTGCCCTGTGTGAGGGGAAAGAGGGAGGAGAAAGGGAGGACTCCCAGGCTGTCTGTGATTCTGGTTCCCTCCCCTTGCTTCCAGGACTGGGCCTGCAGGCCACTTCTGGTCAGGAGGTATACCAGGTGAGAAGAAACAGGACGGTGGGGAGGCCAGGTGGGCAGTCATCATGCAGGGAGGGCCACGAGGCTGCCGAAGGAGGGACGGAAGAAGCAGGGAGGCAAGAGCGGGTCAGGGGCATCGCCCTGCACTCGCCAACCCCCTCCCCCAGGTGAACCTGACTGCCTCCTTGGGCACCTGGGACGTGGCAGGGGAAGTAACCGGAGTGACTCTCACCGGGGAAGGGCAGCCAGATCTCAGCCTCGCCAGCCCAGGGCTGGACCGACTCAATCGGCAGCTGCAGCTGGTCACTTACAGCAGCCGAAGCTACCAGGCAAACACAGCAGACACAGGTGCGAGGCCTGGGTGGACGTAGTAACAAGCCGGGCGAACACAGGAAGCCAGAAAGGCAGGAGTGAGCAAATGGCAGAGGGTGTGGGAGACACCCGGGCAATGGCCAGAGCTGCCCAGACACACAATGGACGTTTCAGCTGGTCCAGCAGGGCCAAGGAGGGAGAGAAGGGGCCTTTGTTCAACTGGGGCTGGAACAGGCCAGAGGGAAACCCGAGCCTTGGGTGTGTCGCCCCTTCAGGCCAACCATGGGGGCCCCAGGAAGTGACCTGACCCAGGAACTAGAAGATTCAAGCTCTGTTCCCAGCCCACCACTTACTAGAGGGCAAAGAGCTTTCTCTCCCAGAGCCCCTATTTCTCCTCTGGCAAAAGGGGTTTAACAGCCCTCCTGCTTCTCTCCAAGGCTTCTATACCAATCCTACTCCCACTGGAGGGCCTTCGCACTTACTGTTCCCTCTGCCTAGAATACTCTTCCCCTAGATTTTTGCAAGGCTGGCGCCTTATCCTTTGGATCTCAGCTCAGACGGCTCCTCTTCACTCTCACAATACTTGTCTTATTTTCTATTCAATACCTATCTGTATCTGAATTTTCTTATTTACTTAACCTGGAACCAGACGGACTAGGTTCCTACCCCAGCTTTCTTGCCTAAGAGTTGGGTAATTATGGACAAGTTAATTTCTCTGTGCCTTCTTTTTCTGTAGTAGGAATCTACTTAATAGGGCTATTGTGAGGATTAAATGAGTTCATATAGTTAAGGTAATTTTAAAAGTGCCTGGCACATAGTAAATGCTCAATAAAGGCTAGCTTTTAATGAAAACTTTTATCATCTTTCTCCCGCCCATTAAAATATAAGTTCCAAGGGGGATAAGAACCTTACATTCTTATCTAACAGGGCCTAGAAAAGTGCAACACAGGGCAGGCACTTAAATACTGACTTACTGAAAAGAGAATGTTATCCAAGCCACATCTCATGTCTTTTCTTCCCAGTCCGGTTCTCCACCGAGGGACACGAAGCTGCCTTCACCATCCGCATAAGACACCCACCCAACCCTCGGCTGTACCCACCTGGGTCTCAACCCCAGGGAGGTGAGACTGGTATGCTCAGGGGCATAGACCCAGCATGACAGGAAGAAAGTTGGAAGCGGGTGGCCCTGGGAGGTGTCCTTCTCCTCACTCGCCACTCTCCTCGGCACCTCCATCTGCGCCTCACTCCTAGCCCAGTACAACATCAGCGCTCTGGTCACCATCGCCACCAAGACCTTCCTTCGTTACAATCGGTTACGGGCACTCATCGCCAGCATCCGCCGCTTCTACCCAACGGTCACAGTGGTGATCGCCGATGACAGCGACAAGCCAGAGAGCATCAGAGGTCCCCACATCGAGCACTATCTCATGCCTTTTGGCAAGGTGCAGAGCCACAGGGCACCGGGAGGGGGCATGCCCTCAGTCCGCAGTCTCCAGGGTTATCCAGCAGAGGATTTCTGAGATGTAAGCTCCACGGGAGCAGGAATCGTGCTGTCTTATTTGAGCTGCCTTCTTAGAATGGTGCTCAGCACCTAGTGGGGGCTCAATAAATAGTTGATGAATGAATGAATGAACGCATGAATCAAATGCATTCCAAGACTCTCCCCTAGAAGACCCACTCAGAGCCTCTGGCAGTGGGAAACTGCATTTTTTTTAACGTAGCTCCCGGCCATTCCTAAGCACTTGCAAAGTTTGCAGAGGGGCACAGGCTGTTGAGGGCCTTCGCAGGTGGCTCACTGGTAAAGAATCCGCGCGCAGGAGATGCAGGTTGGATCCTTGGGTAGGGAAGATCCCCTGGAGGAGGAAATGACAACCCACTCTAGTGTTCTTGCCTGGGAAATCTCATGGACAGAGGAGCCTGGCGAGCTACAGTCCATGGGGTCGCAGAGTCGGTCGCAGCACACAGGCACAGACAGGCTGTTGAGAGGGGTCAGGAGTGAGGAGAGGTGGCAGAGGGCTGCGTCCTCTCTCGACAGCATCGCCAACCGTACTTACCCTTCCCCAGGGCTGGTTCGCAGGCCGGAACCTGGCCATATCCCAAGTAACCACCAAGTACGTGCTGTGGGTGGACGATGACTTCGTCTTCACGGCGCGGACGCGACTCGAGAGGCTTGTGGACGTGTTGGAGCGGACGCCGCTGGACCTGGTAGCGGAGGGCCGCGGGAGGGAGGGTGGGAGGAGGGCTTCCGGCAGGCTCAGGCCGAGGCCGGAGACCGCGAGCAGCCAGCCCCGGGACGGAAGCCGGGCCTGGGCCACCGTCTGGGCCCGGCGGGGGTGGGGCGGGAAGGACCCAGCAGGGAAGCCCCCTGGAGGGCAGAGGGGGTCCAGACCTAACCCCTCCCAGTGCGCGGCCGGCCTGCAGTCATCCTCCCGCCCTGGCAGGTCGGGGGCGCGGTGCGCGAGATCTCCGGCTTCGCCACCACCTACCGGCAGCTGCTGAGCGTGGAGCCCGGCGCGCCAGGCCGCGGGAACTGCCTCCGGCAGAAGCGCGGCTTCCACCACGAGCTCGTCGGCTTCCCGGGGTGCGTGGTCACCGACGGCGTGGTCAACTTCTTCCTGGCGCGCACTGACAAGGTGCGCGAGGTCGGCTTTGACCCGCGCCTCAGCCGCGTGGCGCACCTGGGTGAGTGGCGCCCCCCTCCCGGCCGGGCAGGCACCCTTCGGGGCTCGGGCCCAGGGACCGCGGGGTGGTGGGGCAGTCAGGTGCCTGGGGCCCCGGGTGCCACTGCCCGACCACCCCGCGGAGGCCACCGCTGCCACCGGGGTCCCTAGAGCAGTTCCACGAAGATTTACCAAGACCTGTGGCCCGGCCACAGAGACAGCTCCAAACATCCCAGCCCCAAACATCATTTAAACCTCAGCGGCCAGTGCAGCCACTGGGTCTTGCCTTGAGCTTCCCCAACTCTGGCACCTCGGCCTCTATCCTGCTGCCAACCGAATCTCCTGGTTCAGGCCACCTCGGAGCAGCCAAGTCGGCATTTATTGCATTTTGGCCGGGGAGGGGGGGTGTTGCGGGAGGGAGGGAATCAATTTCCAAAGCACAAGGTACGGATATTGACTCCCATTGTATACAAGACTCAGACGGGTCGCTTTACGTGCCCAAGGCCCTCAGAGATGGAGTCTTTGCATATGCACCCACCATATCCCAAATCTCAGTTCTCCTTCAGCGGCAGCGGTGCCTCTGTACCCTCAAGACCCTTCACTGTGTACTCCCCTTCCCTGTGCCCCCAGAATTCTTCCTGGATGGACTCGGTTCTCTTCAAGTGGGCTCCTGCTCAGACGTTGTTGTGGACCACGCATCCAAGTTGAAGTTGCCTTGGACCTCAAGGGATGCGAAGGCAGAGACTTACGCTCGCTACCGTTACCCAGGATCGCTGGATGAGAGTCAGGTGGCCAAACATCGCCTGCTGTTCTTCAAACACCGGCTTCAGTGCATGACCTCAGAGTGATGGCCACCTGGGGCCTTTCGGCTCTCAGACGGGCCTGCCTCCTTGTCCCTGCCAGGAATTCCTAGCAAACCCCACCGGCCAGTGACCACTCTGCTGACTGTCCCCGTCTCCTTCAGAACTTGATCCCAAACAGGGACTTGTCCTGGTGTCACTCCTTTCTGCAAGTGCCCAGGGGCATGATGGAGCCATAACTTGTCCCACAGCCAGTGCCAAGTCCTCCCCCCCTACCCCTTCCCCTAGGGCAGGAAGTGGGGGGTTGCTTTTCAAGTGCCAAAGAGCCCAAAGGGGGACTCTAAAAACCTAAAGCAGAAATACTCTCCTCTCATCTCCTTGGTACTAAGGGGTTGGGGAAGCCCCCATATATAGTCCCTGGGCTGTGCCCCTCTCTCTGGATCCAGGACTCTGTGCAGTGGCTGCAGCCTCACCCCCATGGAAAGAATGGAGTTGGAATGGGGGCTGGTGAACATACAGGGGAAAGCCACTTTTAGTTGTGTCTTTGCAATGCTTTGGGAGTGGAGGAAGGGGCACCAAGGGTCCATGTGCAGACACCCAGACTCATTTCATGAACCCCAGAGGCTCTCAGCTTCATTTTATTAGTCACACGACGTCAGGGGGCCCAGGGGCCGTGGCCCGCCTCACATGTCTCGCTGGGGCCCTCCCCACACCAGATGGCCGGGTCAGACCCACACTGTGCAAGTCTTTGGGCCATTGAGCTCCTGGAACAGGGAAGGGACAAGTCAGAAGTAGAATCGGTGCTCCCCTCCCTCACGCACGGTCTGGCAGTCCTCTCAGGGGCACACTGCCTGCCTTGGAACTTCAGTTCCTCGGTTCTTCGCCCACAGCTGGGCCCAGTCTCCCCAGCTTGGTCTTACATTGACTAATCATTTCATCCCCATCCCTTTCCTGCATCTTCCTCCTGAGCCCCCTTCGAACACCCCTCTGCCGGGGTCTCAGTCACTGACTCACACCCCCCTCCCACAGGCCAGCCCCTCCCAGCTCCCACTCCCATTGCTCCTGCGGCCTCACCAGCCTCTCCAGGGCGTGCGCAGCCGCATCCTGGACACTCACAAACAGCTGTTCTGGGGTCACTCTGTCCAGGAGTCCTGCCTGGGTCAGCGTCCCCCGCACTGAGGCTGTGTGGAGACGGGGGTCAGGCCTCCGGTCCTGCGTCCACACCGTGTCCTCTTCCCTCCCCGCCAAGTGCCCGGTCACTCCCGTCTCCAGACCCCCCCAGCCTGCACGCCTCACCGTTACACTGAGCCAGGAGGAGGTGGATCCCAGCATCCCGGCATCGACTGGCCAGCTGCGGGGGTGGGGGAGGGACTTAAGTCCTACATCAGAGGGTGTTCATGAAACCACAAGGGGGCTTCCTCCTGAGCCTACCCTCGCGCTCACCTGAACCACCTCTCTGGCCCCTGCAGCGTCTGCAAAGGTGACACCACTGCAGTCTAGGACCGCCACCCTGACAGGCTCGGCAACTAGGATGGGAGACGGCGGGAGCACTCAGATGCCTCCGTGGGTGGCGCCAAATCTCCCTCCTTACCCTCCCACCTCACCTGCACCAGGTGGGCCATCTGTCTTTGGAGCCTCCTGTGAGTAGAGAAGGGGAGTCACGACCTCTGAGTCACGAGCACAGACGTGCACCCAGTGAGCCCAAGGATCCCCCTTGGAACACCCACCTGCCTCCCAGCCCCAAAGAAGCCACACTTCCCTTTGACCAGGTCCCTCACCTTGCCTCCTTCTCCAAGCCCCAGATGCCACTCCAGGATGCGGCGAAACTGCCCCCGGGTCCCAAAGTAAAGCGGTGCTGGATAGCTCAGGATGCAGAGCCCCGGAACCTGGAGGAGCTAAGGGGTCAGCGGGTCAGCGAAACAGCCAAGTCTAGTCTCCCCTTCCTTCTTTGGCGGTAGCCCACCCACCTTGTGGCTCTCTCTGAGTGGCCTGTAGAGCTCTGTCCCCTCAGCCAGTCCAAGTGCCAGGCACTGTACCCTGGGCAGGAAGCGGGGGTCAGCCTCCCAGCCTGATCTGGCTGGAGAGTCGCCCCAAGCACTCTCTCCTCTCCCCTCCTCTCCTCTCGACTCCCCTCATCTCTGCTCCCACCTCTGGGTGCGGCAGACCACAGTCATCAGGGAGAAGAGCACGCCTACAGCCAGGCCCAGGTCCACTCTCAGGGTAACGACAGCCACCCATGTGACCGTCCACACAGCCTGCAGGACACGGGCGGGGGTGAGGTGCCCGGAAGAAATGCCCGGCCCTCACTGCCGGGGAAGGAGGGCCCAGGGGCGGTGGCTGCCAGGGCAGACGAAGGGGAGGGAGGGCCCGGGAGAAAGAAAGAACGACAGGAGGAAGGCGTGAGGTTGGCCTACGAGGGGATGCACAGCAGGCGTGAGGACCTCACGCCTGGAACCGCCTGGGGGTTCCAAGTGCTCAGGTCTGAAGAGGTTCGGGCTTCACCCTTCACCTTGTCTCTGAGTAAAGGCATTAGGAGGTATAGAAGTCGAGGGTGGGTAGGCGGCAGAGCTCAGGACTGGGACAGTGAGCTCTGATCAAGGGCAGAGGCCGGGGACGCTAGGAAGGTGGGAGGGGGCATCTGAGAGCCACGCTGCCATTTCTCACAAAGTCCACGCGGCTGATGCGCCACAGCTGAGGGAGTTCTCGCATCTGGAAGAACATCTGGCGCATGCTGGAGATGTTGATGCAGGCCAAGACAGCCTTAGGGCAGAGGAGGCAGGCTGACCACCCCCATGTGTGGGGAGGTGGCCACCCCTCCCAGCCGTCCCTCCGCCTGCTCTGCTGCTTACCTTGGGCAGATAGTGGAAGAGGGGCCCCAGCCACAGCAACACAGACAGCACGACCACGCAGGAGAAGAGGCCCGCCAGCTGGAGGGCGGGGGGCAGAGGAGCAAAGGCCGGAGGGACCCTCACCCACCGCTCGTGAGAGACGGCCTCCTGCCTCTGTGGCAGCCTTCTTGAAAGTCTCCCTCCTCCCCAAATCTCCTTCCACGCTGCTGTTCCTCTCTCTGCAACCCCTGCTTTTCCCCCTTGCCCAGTTAACACCTGTCATTTGTTGGTTCCCCCAAGATATAGTTCAACATCCCTGTTTTTGTAGCCTACCTCCATTTTATTATTATTTTTTTAGTCCTCTGAGGCACTTTATTTGTGTGTATTACATCCCTAGAAAAAGAATCCGTGGATTTTCCCTCCTGTATGTTTTCCTCTTGCTTCTTCATGGTCCCTGATGCCAGCTGAGGTTGTCAGTACAATGAAGCCAAACTAATGGGACAGGAGCAGGTTATTCTGCCATTTTTCTAGATCTTTGAGTTGTACATCAAATCTGGGGCTGATCACTCCACACTTAGTTAGCCTGCCTGTGAGGTTCACAACAATTTTCCCAGCCCTGTGATCATCAATGATTTAAAATTCGCCAATGTAACCATGCTTCATCATCACTGTTCGGAACCTGATGATGACTTTGGAGCACGGCCTAATAAGGACCTGGCATTTGCCTCTTTTTTCGGCATTGTTGATACTCTTGAGAGCATCAGCCAGGACATTCAATCGCACCATTCTGGCGGCATGGAAAGATGGCAGAAAGAGCCCCACCTCCATTTTAAAAGCCCACTGTTGGATGACCCTAAAAAGCAGGCTAAGCACCTGCTTAGGACACCAACAAATACAGGAAACCAAAAATATTAGGGAGAGACTTAAATATGTGACATTTCTTTGAAAAAGAATATGTCCTCACAAGGAAAGAGTCCAGAATTTTGTTTCTTACATTTATTTTCCAGATTAGTATCGTCCTTATCTTGAACTACATGTAGGACACCATGCCCTTTCTCAGTGCTTAGAATCTACAGAGGTCTTAACGAACCTTTCTTCTCTATGTTCCTCCCAGACGATCCCAGCTGCCCACTCCCCTTCCCTCACAGATCGCCATCATCCTCTACAGGACTGCCCCCTGGGTGTCTTCCAATCTTCCACCTGTTCCACCACCACCCAGCATGTCCCTCCCGGCTTCTCCTCACCCAAGAACAAGGCTCTCACCTGTGTGTTCCCACCAGCATCCACTAGGAGGCTGGTCGTAGCCAAGGTGGCAGAGTTGGGAAAGCAAGAGAAGAGGGAGGAGACGAGGTTGGAGACGCCGTGGGCCAGGAGCTCCTAGGAGGATGCAGTGAGATGGAGAGGAGAGAGGCGAAGGCACGGCTAGGGGGGGGAATCACGCTCGGGGGCTGTCCGTCTCCCGCACGAGGCTGGGGTCCTCTCAGTCACACCTGGTTGGAGTCAATAGTGTAGCTGTACTTGTCGGCATAGATGGAGGCCAGGGAGGCAGACACCGCAAAGGTGACCAGCGCCATGGGCAGCGCGTCGGCCAGAATCCTGGGCAGCTCAGCCAGGCTGGGGAGGAGAGGTTGGGGAAATCTGGAGGAAGAGAGGAATCTACGGTGAGGGTGGGTTGGGAATAATAAGGATATGAGGAAGAGAGAGGACATAGTGCAGGACAGAGCAGGAGGGGGCGTTGAGTGGGAGAGTTGTGGGAAAAGAAAACAAGTGCTTTTCCCCTCTCTCTTACCCTCTGGGCAGCAACCCAACTATCTGGACATTGTATCTTGTGTCCAGGGAAGAGGTGTAGCAGAGCACAGAGGCCAGAAGCACCTGGAAAAGAGCAACTTGGCGCGTGGGTGGAGATGGCCCCCAGCGGAGGCCAGAAGGGACTCAGCGTGAGAGGCCTGTAGCTCAGGATCGCGGCTGCAGGAGCTCAGCAACGCAGGGAGCAGGGGTGTGTTTGGGCTGGGTGCCTGACAACTGATTCAGAGTGGAGAGGGAATTCCCTGGTTCTCCAGTGCGTAGGACTCTGCTCTAAGGACTCGGTTCAGTCCCTGGTGTCGGGGAACTGAGACCCTGCAAGCCATGCAGCAGTTTAAAAAAAAAAAAAAAAAGAATGAAGGAGAGAGAAATGATGTGTGCCTGGAACTACGGAGAGAGATGGGCCAGAGGAAGTGAGAGGGGACTGCTATGAGGGATGGTGGATATCGAGAGGTACAACCGAGCCATTCTAAGCCGGGAAGCTGGGTTACATCTAGGGACGTGTGGGGTATCTGTGCGGTGTGTGTGGGATGCCGTTTAACTGAGGAGAGAGAGAAATGTAGGTGGACGCCGGAAGGGAGGGAGGTGAGCCTCGAGTCACAAAGGCCCGGTGAGAGGAGAGAGAAGACGGGAGTGGAGGTGCTGTGGCAGCGACACCGCAAGGGGGCGCGGTAAGGAGAAAGACGGCTTCCTTAGAGGCTCTGTGCGGACGGCGAACCCGTGGTGCGGGATTCCCGGGGCTCACAGCGTTCCGAGAAGACGCCTCTGGCAAAGCACACGTCTGAGCAGGACCGCTCTCCGCGCTCCGCGAGGGGGCGGCCGCGGCCACTTCCTACAGGGCAAGCGGGGTCTGCGCGGTGCGCGGGGCTGGCGCCCGGGAGCCGTCCTCACCATGGCGATTTCCCCCGGGATGGGGGTGGGGAGCCTGTCTCTGAGTCTCACGTTCAGTTCCTTGACCGGCACGAGCAGCGCCAGGCTGAGCGCCGAGATGGTCAGTTCGGCGGCACTGCTCCGGGGCAGCGCCGTCAGCACGGCGGCCAGCGTCTGCAGGCAGGGCAGTGAGCAGAGGGGCCTGGGGCCAGCGTCGAATGCCGGCAGTCCTGATCCCCAGACTGAGGCCAGGCCTTGTCTCCTGGCTCCCAGTAGGGCTCCCACCTCCTCGGCGACTCTCACTGCCGCCCCCCCACCACACACTGTCCCTCCACTGGCCCTCCTTCCTTCCTTGGCGGGATTCCCTCCTCCCGGGACCCCTGGAAGCATCCTCGCTGTTCTCCCGCCCCCACCTTGAAAAGGGCGAAGCAGCCAATCTGCCGTGGGAGGGGCACCCCCAAAAGGCTAGGCAGCTGTGACACCAGCACGTGCAGGGCGGCCCCGCTGGTCAGCGCTTTGACGACAGGCTCCGACAAGAAGGTGGCCAGGACGCCCAGCTGCAGCGCGAACATCCCCAGCTGCAGAGGAGAGATGCCCGGATCGCCACGCGAGAAGAGCAGGCCAGTCCCGGTATAGGGCCACCGGCTTCTCTGCGCACCTCTTCTGCCTAGACCGCCGCTGGACACTTGTCCCTCCCTCTCCCCTGGCCCCCAGCGTGGAGTCCCCCCAGTCCTTCCTCCCTACCCCACCCCGGTCCCCCCTCACCATCAGGGCCCCGCTCCCGAAGGCCACTGCCGCAGCCGCGCCAACCCGCTGAGCATCCAACTGTTCCCTCTCAATTCCGCTCAGGTTCCCCGAGAGGGGTTCGGGCACCAGCCGCTCCACGGCCGAGCCCGTCATGAGGCTGAGGACAGCGAAAGTTCCTAGGGCCAGGGGAGAAACGCACAGATCCCCAGATGTGCTGGCCAGGCTCTGGGCACTCTGCCAGAAAGGCTGCTGTCAGACCATCTCTCCGAGGAGGCTGGCTGCTCAGGTGAAGACTGCGGGGCCAAGAGCTGGGGCAGCAGCCGGATCCAGCGGGGAGCGAGGAAACCAGGGAGCACCCGACCGCGAGAAATTGCCCCCCCAACTGCATCCCTGCCCCTCCTGCGGATGCTCTGCGGATGCTCTGCGGGCTACGCCCTCCTCTGGGTGACAGTGCATCTCTTTCCCCCTCTTTCAAGCCGTAGAGATGTTCTTTTAAACCAGATTTCAAGGAGAGGAAAAGTCCGAGTATAAACTCCCACCTCTTTGCACCACCACCCCCCAAACCCCCAACAGGCACTGCCTAGGTCAGAGGCTCAGGGCAGTCCAGCAGGGGATGGGGGAAAGGAAGGTGAGGCGCGAAGAGGGGAGTAAGAGCGAGGGGGCTTCTAAGAAGCAAAGCCTCAACCCCCTGTCCATTTCACCCCACAGAGAGGGAGAGGAGTGTGTGGGCCACTCACCAGTGGACAGGTGTCTCCCAGTACCCAGCAAGGTGTAGATGAGGCCGGGAAAGAAGGAAGTGTAGAGTCCGAACACTGGGGGCACAGAGGTCAGGAGGGCGAAAGCCATGCCTGGGGCGTGGTGGGAGGGAAGGCCTTCGGTGTGTGGGTGAGGGGCTGGGGGCCCGCCCTCCAGGACTGCTCTTCCCCTCCCGCCCTCTTGGAGGCTGGCACAGGCAGCTACATCACACCACAGGAGGGAACTCAGGGGTTAACAGGCCTCGGTGGGTGGGAGGTCATGGGGCGGTCAAGGTCAGAGATCCGTGTCTGCATCTGGGGGGGGCATCCTGGGGGGGGCAGGCGTTCAAGCTGAGAGGTCTCTCCAGTTCCGGAGCCGGACCGTGGCCAAGACTTCGCGCAGGATTGCACAGATGAGGGGAGCTGGGGGTGGGGATCTGACGGCGCTCCACCGCCCTTACCCAGAACTCGGCCTCGGGTCCCTGTCGCCGAGCCCACCCGCTTCGCTCCCGGTTGCCAGGCCCTGTGCCCACCCGAAGCCCCCTTAAGCTTGGGCCCCTGCCAGGCTGGTGTTGGGGCCGCTCACCCTGGGGCACGTGCACGATGCCCACGGTCAGTCCGGCCACCGCGTCCCCGAGCAGCCAGGCCCGCCAGCGGTAGTGGGGCAGCCAGCGCAGCGGGGGCAGCCGCGCCAGCAGCAGGCGCCACGCCCCCGGTCCGGAGCAGACGCGGGCCCGCCGTCGCCACAGCCTGGACCAGCGCGGCTCCGCGAGCAGCTCGGGCTCCTGCTCTGCGTCTCCGAAGAGCTGCTGGAACCGGGTCTCGGTGAGAGGTTCCCTGAACTTGGCGCCCAGGGGGGACTTAAGGTCGGAGGCTTCTCCCGGACCTGGGCAGGTCCTGGCGCCCCGTAGCCCACTCATTTCGCCCTTGGCCACCTCCAACTCCGCCCAGCCTTAAATACCCCTCGGCCCGCCGGCCCCGTGGCCCGCCTCCTTGGAGCAGAGTCCAATCCCGTCCCGGAGGGAGCCCTCTCTTGGGGACCTTCTACAGTCAGGAGACAGCTGCGCCTTGGGGAGGGGGCATCTCTGTGTTAGGCGTTTCCCTCATACATCCTTGGCCCGATCGCTGGCTCTGGAGCCTGCAGTAGAGGTACCAGAGAGATAGGCCAGAAAACAAACGCACCCAACACCCACTGCCGCTCCTAGGTCTTTGGACTCCCGCCTCTCACTCCGGTGGTTTCTTTCCACATTAGCACCTGGGGCACAGACAGATGCTGACTCCTCTGGGGTTGCTGGTCATCCTCAGGGCTGCAAAATGGCCCACAAGAAAGTTCAGCGGTGTTCCAACCTCCCTTTCTCCCCCCAGACCCTAATTCTCACGGGCAGAGCTTCTCACCAGAAAGTGTAAGGGGCTCCATTGGCCTCAGCTGTCTCACAGACCACCTAGATGGGAAGCAGCTACATGCATTGGATAGGGACCTCCCTATCCAATCCCTCCCTAGAGGGACCTCCCACCCCACACCTCTGCTGGGAGTGGCTGGGCCCGAATTCCCAATTCAGGGCCTCAGGGGGGAATACTGAACAGATAGCAAGTTTTGATTTTATGGCTCAGAAAGGCAAAAACACTGAAGCACTATTTATTGCATTCCAGTGCTATTCACAAAGTAGGCAGTCAACAATACGTATGTGGTTAAATTAAGTACAGAAGGGTCGCCCACCCACGTCATGTACCCGAGGTCCCTGAAGAGGTACAAAGCTTTTGAGCGCCAGAATCCTGCTAGTTGCCCCATCCCCTCCTCCGTGCACAAGAATTCTTAGCACCCCTCCCCATCACCCTCTGGTCCCTAGTCCCTGACCCCAAAGCCCTGGGTGTGGGGTACAGTGAGGGTGGGTCTCCCCTCTTCAATTCCTCCTATTGTTCCCCAGAAGTCTTATCTGGGCTGCACGTCCTGTCCCCCCCCAGAGGCCCCTCCCCGCATTGTGGCCAGAGAGACCTCAGGCCTGCAGGGAGGCTCCAGCTCCTCCTCAGCCTCCCACCCCAGCAGTCTATTGTCTGCTGAGGAAGCTGAAGTACGCGTGACTGGGCCCAGGGGACGAATGGACACAGTGGACACACCGATGCCCAAGGACCCAGGCAGGACAGGGCATCGGGACGCGAGTCTCTGCACGTTCGGGTCTCGGTCCCGGGGGCTGTCCCCGAAGTTGGGAGGGGTGAAGACCTCCACTCTTAGGTCTACGGCTTGAAGAAGAATCCCTTCCTGCTCAATATGGATATGCTTAGCGACCTCCCAGACAGCAAAAATAAGGGGACCCAGAGCCAGAAGGGGCCAGAGCCCCCCAGCATCCTCTCCACCTCCCCATGTTCCCTCAGCTGAACATGGTGGCCTCAGAAAGGTACCGTGGGCATTCAGTGCTTTGGCATCTGGGTGTTGGGAGAACGGTGGGAAGTCAGCCCACAGCAGGCTTTCCCAGTGGCGTCTAGAACAGAGACCAGACGGGAGGGAAAGGGGCTGGGTAAAAGGGAGGATGCAAGCTTCTAGGGTTTTCCTGTAGCCCCAAGACCCAGACTGAGAGATGCTGCAGCTGCAAGTGAGGGACAGAGATAACTACATTTTTTTAATCTTACATCCTGCACCCTTCTCCTTTCACCAGACCCTGCCTCCAACGACTGATTTGAGGGGCCATCTGATCTCTTCCACACTCCTTCACCGCAACTTCAGCTTCCCCTTCCCTCTGCTAAGACAGCAGCTTTAGTGATATACCAAAACCTTTATTCTCAGAAAACAGAAAAATCAAAAACAAAACCAGTCATTTCTATCTGGCCCTTGCCCCAGCCCTCCCACCCACCCACCCACATATCCTCCTTTTGGGGGGACCTGTGATGCATGCATAGGGGTGGGAGCTGAAGGAACCTGTGTTCCTTGGGCAGAAAGAAGTCTTTTTGAATCTAGGTGCCCTCCTCCAAGTTGACACCACTCCCAGCCTTGCCCACCCTCCAGACACACCAAGAGGGAGGAATTCTGGAGCGGTGCCGAAGGATTGCCCTGAAGTTCCTGGGGGAACAGAGTGGCTGAGTCAGCACCACCCCCGCGGCCTTCACCAGTTACAGCTCATCTTCATCCAGCTTGGCGAGTCTGGCTCGGCAGGGAGGAGTGTCTGGAGCTGGTGGAACTGGAGGAGGGTCATGAGGAGCCTGGGGGGTGGCACTGGGGGCCTGAAAAGAGACTCAAAGAAGTTCAGGCATCCACCCTCACCCCTGTCTTGTCAGTGTAAGCCCCGAGTCACGCCCTCTTGCCAGACATCTTAGATCATCTGAGACCATCAGCGTCTCCCAGGGTTAAACTGGGGTTGGGGAGGGCAAGAGCTGGGAAGTAGGAAGGGGCAGACAAAAGGAAGGTGGTGGAAGAAAAGAATGATATGGGGGTTTGGGGACCCGGAACCGAGAGGGAGGCCCTCCACATTCTGCCCTCACAGCCAGGGAGCTTCATTCCTCATACCTGGGTGTCCGGGCGCAGGGGGGCTCTGGCCACCTCCCCTTGGGGCGACAGCAGCAGGGACGGGAGAGAGCCATTGATGGGTGTATGTGTGCTGAACTGGGCCCGGTCTCCAGGCCGAATTCTCCCAGGGCTCCCCACCCCAGGCCCTCCTGGCCGCCCCAGGCTGTTGGTCTGACTCTCCCGTCTCTGGTACTCAATGGGCGACTGCAGCGCTGGGGCAAAGAGAGGCACAGAAGGAGGGTTACAGCAGAGACACACCCTCTCCAGGGACTCTGCTCAGGCCATGTTCTCCCACTCTGCCCTCCCCGCCCAAAGACTGTCAGCCAATGTAAGTTGCTTGAGGCTTTAGGGGGATCCTGAGTTACTCAATCTTGAGTTAGTAGTGGAAAAGTGGAGATGAGGGGAGAGGGCAGGGATCAGAGACTGGGCAGGGAGAGATTCGGGAGATCCAAGGGCCGAGAGAGGATGGCAAGGAGTGAGGGGCTGAGCTTCACCATTGAGAAAGTCCCGCTGGCTTTCCAGGATCTGAGCCACTTGCTTGATCCAGGCCTGACTGACCGCAGGGTCCTCAGCCTGCAGGACGTAGCGCTGGATCCCACCCTCGGGTCCTCTGGAGGTCAGTGCAAACCGGCAAGGGTCACCCTGGAGGTTCGCCTCCAGTCCCAGGCAGCTCACCTGGATTGGCAAAGAGGAGGCAGCCCCCAAATTCTTCAGCCCCTACTCTGGATCCTGCCCCCTCCAACAAATATCCCAGAGCCAGACGTCCTCTCAGAGGCCTCCCTGACCCCAGTCAGACCCCTCCCCACCTTGATGCTGCTCTTGTACACATAACCAGGCTGCGCTCCACCTCGTACTCCTCCTCCCAGGGCCTCGCTGAAGATGACGATCTGCTCGAACAGAAAGACACGCCTCTCTCGGCCCCGGGAAGAGAGCAGCCCCCCAGCCTCCGGCTCCGTGACCCAGAATGTGTCCTGGCCCAAGAGCTTTCCCTGAGCAGTCAGTTTGCCCTAAAAGCAAAGGAGAGTGGCCCTTGAGAGAAACCAGAAGAGAAGAGGGGGCAACTCTCTGCTCCTCCCTCCTTCCCCTGACACTCTGACCAGCCAGCTCCAGTCAACCCCAGGAGAGGAGGACAGCTCCCTGTAGGGACTCCCGAGGGCTCAGCCTGGGGCCAAGAACTCTGCACCATCCCCGTACCTCAAACCCCCGAAGTCTCCCCAGGGTCATCATGTCATTGCAGCGCTTGGGGACGAAGCACATGACCTCCACCGCTTGCTGGGACGCAGGTAAAGAGAGGAGTGTTGTCAACGTTGGGAAAGAGGCCTCTTCAGACCTCTTCAACCAGCCTCCCCCTATAAACCAGACAGCGCTATAAAGGAACCCAGCAGACTAAGAAGATAGGTGTGACTGGTGTGTCCTATGAGACATGAGAGCCCTCACCTCCAGCTCTTCAGTATCCATCCCAGCTCTCCTATAATACTTGAGAAAATCCTAAGACACAGAAAAGAAATTCTCAGGGAGGTCACGAGGACATCCCCAAGACCCCTCACACCCTGCCCTGAGGACACAGGTGAGGGCCCCCAGGAGGTCGAGGGGGAGCCTCAGAAACCCTGGGGAGATGAATGAAGAAAAGGTTGTCCCGACCTGCTGTGCCCCCCAGGAAACAGGTGGCCCTGACCTTGAGCAGCAGCTGGTATTTCATGATCCTCTGCACTGGTTTGATGAGGAGGTCGTTGAGCTGCAGGCGGTGCCCCAGCTGCTGCCGGAGCTCCTGGGGACAGGGACAGACAGGGTGGTTTTGCAGCCTGGAAAGCCCGCTCGTACTGACGATTCTGTCCCCCTTTCCCCAAAGTATCTCAGCCACTGACCTCAAAATAGCTGTCCCCAAATTCTGATACCACATGCTCTGATTTGGGCTTATTCTGACAGTACACCACGTACATGTGCAGCCGGCGCTCCTAACGGGTAAATTTTAAGAAAGGGTCAAGGTAGTGAGGCCTGATCCACTCCCAAGCCCCTCCCCTTCTGGACGCCACGCCCTCAAGCCTCACGTGTTTGATAAATAGCTGAGCCAGCCAATCAGGATCCTTCAAACAGAGCTGCAACTCCCGCAGGAAATAGCTGGAGGGGTAGACGGGGAAAGGCAGGTCAAATACCCCATCCCATGCAAGTTAGAGCTGTCTGCCCCGTAGTGTTCCCCAGGAAGTCTCTCCAGACATTCCTCAGGCCACAGTGGGCCCATGGGGAGGACACAGAGGCCACCCGACATATGCCCCTCCCCCTTGCTCTCAGGGGATCCATCACTTACTCTCGATGCCACTCATAAATTTGCTGGATGTTCCCAAACACAATCCTGTCACGACCTCGAAGATTCTCGGGTACCCCCTGAGCAGCCATGGCTGCCATGTAACCCTGTGGGAAGGTGGGAGGGGAGCAGGAGTGTGTGGGGCCCATCCTAGTGGGAACCTCAAAAAGTCTAGGAAGTCTGGGAGACTGGGGGGGTGGGACCGAGGAGCAACGAAAGACCTCCTAACATAGCCCTGGGAAGAGGGGAAGGGCTGGGCCAGAGCTGGGAAGGGAGAAGGGAGCTACCTCCACAATCTGCCGCAAGTCGTCCACGTACATCTCCTCTGTCTCCACCAGTTCACTGAGGACATACCTGGGGAGAGAACACGTTTAGCCACTTCCTCTCTCCTGGACTAGGAGCCCCTTCATTACCACGGCCAACCTCGGAGGAAATCCCAAGTCTCAAATCTAAAATGTGAGAGATGGTCCTCCGCAAGTTGTGTGATTGGAGGGGGGAGGTCAGGGAGAGAGCGTAGACACTTACATACTCCTTTCCAGAGCCTTCTTCTTCTGCTCCTCTTCACTCTCAGGGGCTTGGGACAAAGTCTCCTCTTCAGGGGGCTGGAAGGAAGAACATGTCAGAGTAAGCGAATGGATGGCCCTTGGGTGAGGGAAGCCACCCCAGACATATTTCATGTACGCTTAGTCTCTAAGTCATGTCCAACTCTTTGCAACCCCATGGACCATAGCCCCGTAGGCTCCTCTGTCCATGGGATTTTCCAGGCAAGAATACTGGAATGGGTTGCCATTTTCTTCTCCAGGAGATCCTCCCGACCCGGGGATCCAGCCCACAACTCCTCTGTGTCTCCTGCATTGACAGGCAGATTCTTTCTCCCTGAGCTATCTGGGAAGCCCTTATTTCTTCATACCTGTGTCTTATCCCCGGGGCCCCCCAACAACGTGGTCAGCAGGTTCAGTTCTGGCAGCTCCTCTCCTGTGGCGAGGGCTGGTTCCAACATCCAGTTCTAGGGGCCAAAGGTCAAGTCTCAAAGGTCAGGGACAGTAGCTGTGTCTCCCCATGACCAGTGGCACCAACCGTCCACTCCCGGCGCTCCTCGTGGACGTCCTTCATGCCTCTGCGGGGCCCTGCTCACCTCATGTGGTCCAGCCCGGCCGCTGTCTGCCTCAGTCTCCGCACTGAGACAGTGTTTGGAATGATCCAACCATCTTCTCAGGCCACTGGCTGCCCGTGGGGGGCCCGGGGAACAGGGGCCAGAGCTGAGACCAGAGCTGGGGCCAGAGGGGGCCGCCAGACCCGAGGCAGCCGAAGCCGAGATACTCCCCTCACTGCCAGCAATAGAGTAGGACTCTGATGGGGTGGGGGTGGGGGTGGAGAAAGGGAATGACATGTTGCTTCAGCTCCAGATTCGGGGTCCCCAGGGAGCTCCCAGAAGCTCCATTCTGTGATGCTCGGCCCCTCTCCCCCAGGGCTCCCTCTCTCGCTATCCTCACTTGACTTGGCCAGGAAGAAAATTTCACCAGGGCACCCTTGGGGGGAAGGACAGTAAACACCCGGCTCCCTATGCCTGGCACCCCCAGTTACATGTGGGGGCTCCTTCACATCTGAGCATGGCAGTGGGGGCAGCCATCTGGGCACAGTGGAGGCTGGGGGTGACCATCTGCTCTCCTGTAACCCTCCCCCTTGCACTGGGGACAGACCATTCTCCTTGAAGGGGGGACAAAAAGAGCTAAGAGCCCATCTGCCACCCCCAGACCCCTCCTCCACCAGCTGCAGTAACCCCTATAAGAAGGAAAGACTTCTGCAGCCCACCTCCCCAACAGGAGCACAAACCCAACAAAGGGGGCAAGTGAGGAGAGCTCATCAGTTATCCTTGGCCTGGCTCCGGGACAGAGGAGCTGAGATTTGTCAAAGAGCCCCTGGTAGCCCCCTCATCCCTCATTCCTAACACCCCCCGCCGCGTCCTGTCCCTCTACAGATCTGAAGGAGGTTTTCAGCAAAAGGATCTGAAGGTAGATGTGGTTCTAGGCCTAAGGGGATTATGAATGGGTTCTTCTCCTACCCAGTTGAGAGAAGTCCCTTGCCCCTTCCCCAATTTCCTTAACTTGGAACTGATAGAAATGAAAGCAGAGAAGAATCTTTGAGATCAGCTATTAAGTCACTCTCCTGGAAAAGACAGGTAGTCTCCAGCTTCTAAATCCCTAGGGCCGGGACGAACCCAAGTCCTGAACCCCTCAGCCTGCCCCCAACTCAACACTGAGCCCTTGCAACCTTACACTCACCACGTCCCCCCCGAGCGAAGCAGCAGCCGCATTTTGCCAGCACTTTTCGGATCACATGGGGACAGGCACAGCGACCCTCCTTTTGCCCCCCCCGCATGGCGCCCGGGCCCCCCCGCACCTCCCACCCGGGCCGGCCATGCAGGGGGAATCACGGGGGGCGGGGACGACGCAGGGTGCACACCCCCCCTCCCTCCTACCCCGCTCCAGGCTGGGGGAGGGGGGGAGGGAGGGAATAGAGAGCTGGGGTCCAGGGGTAGGCGGAAGTCTGGTCTGGAAGAGGGCTGGGGGCTCTACAGAGAGGGCGGCGCGGGGCCCAGCCGCCGAACTGGGCGGGGAGGGTTTCCGGAGCCGGTGCGGGGCCCAGGGTGGTCCAGATGTCCAGCGGGGAGGGGAGGGATGGTGGAGGAAGCTGGGCCGGGATGCTGCAGCCGCTCCCGCTCCGTCTCCGGCCTTTCGGATTGGGGGTGGTTCTAGGCCCGGGCAGAGGAGGAGGCGGGGGGCCGACTCCCCGAGTCACTGGCGCGGCGCGGGTCCCGGCGGAGCGGCGAGAGGAATAACAGGCCCCGCCGCCGGGCCGCCGCGGGGAGGGGCCTCCGCGGCCCAGCTCCGCCCTCTCCCTCCGGTTCCCCCTTCAGCCGAACCCCTCCTCCCCCAGGCACCACCACGTTCCCACTCCACGTCCCCAGCGCCTCCGCCCCTCCCCTCTAGCCGGGGCTCCCCAGCCCCCGGGTTCCCCCTCCCTCCCGCATCTCCGGCTCCGGCTGCGGAGCACTGGGGTGGGGCTTGAGCCCCGCGGCGGGGTCTGCCAGGATGGCCCCCTCGGCCTCTGCAGCGGAGAAGGGCGCGGCGGATGGGGCCTTGGCCTGCACGAAGATGTCCCGGGGTTGGGACTGTCCCAAGCCTTGCGGGAGGAGGGCGGGCGGGGGACAAGGTCCCCCAGTAGAGGGTGCGTGAATGGGGAGTTCTTTGTGGGGAGCACAGGCCAGGTGCCGCCCTCTCGCCGGACCCTTCTTTCCTCCAGGCCCCGGGACTCCAGCTGAGGCTAATCACCAATTAAGGCGAAGTCCTGGAGACTGGGCTGGCGAGGGGCCAGGGGTGGGGCGCGGGGACACTCCGCCAGCGGGGCTCGGGACCCGCTGAGGTGGAGGACTCACAGCCGACTAGAGGGCGAGAAGAAGCGTGGAGGTCTCAACGTTTCTATGAGTCTCATGCAAATTAGATGCGAACCTTTATGCTAATACAAGCAGCATATTTTTTAATTCGCCACTTTGCGCAGGATGGCAATCTGGGCGCCACCCCACCCCCAGCTTCTTACCGAGCAGCGGAACCCAGGCGGGGACCTCACGATCGCTCTCCCCTCTCTGATCCCCCTCCGTCCAGTTAGATTCTGGCTCGGTACCCCCCGGCCCTAGGGGGCTTCTCTTCGAGGGCTGCGGGTACAGAGCAGTCGTAAGGAACCAGCCCTCCACGCCCAGCCTCCACCTCCCGCTTCCCCTTCTGTCAAAACCCACTCTTTACAAAAGGGTCGCCGAGGCGAGGGTGGAGAGAGCAGTTAGTTCACCCAAAAACGTGCCTACGCTCCTCTTAATGGAACTCTTGAATTCCTGCGACTACTCCGCAGAATTCTTGTCTGCGGGTATATTGAGTCGTGGGGTGCAGCCGTCCTGAAGCCCGCTAAAGACCCCGACCCCACCTTTGTCCCCCTTCTTACCCCCTCCTGCCCGGGTAGGGCGCATGCGCGCAGCATGCCCCCCATGACCCCCAGTATCCGGTCAGTGCGGCCAGGGCCAGGGCGATCCGGGGGCTTCATGCTGGGCCCCTACCCTCCTCCAAGTTTCAGAGCCGAGGGGGCACGGAAGCTGGGGGGCTCTGAGGCCTGCGTGCGTCCGGGGAGTTGCCGCCGCCGAATCCGCCCCCCTTCCCGGCTCCGCCCCCACTCCCACCCCAGCCAAACTTTTCTGAAGGGGTAGGGTTGCCGCTTTCTCTACAACCGGCGTTCGACAACAAACCTCCCTCTCTTAATCCCAAGTCCTCCGCCGAAGCACGATCCAGGGGTTCGCTGTTATCCTGGAGCCCACTGAGTGCCTGCCGCTGTCCCAGGCCCTCCGGAGGCAGGCAGCCTGGCGAGGCTCCCCGGGAGCGCCCCATCACCGCCCCCGCCCCTTCTCAGCAGGTCCAGACCGCCCCCCCACCCCCCCGCCACCCCATGCCTATCCCGGCCCGCAGAACAGAAGGGGCGCGGCATAGAGTTGCATATTTTACTTTATTTTTATTAAATTAAAAGCTACAGTCTGGCGGCGATTCCAGAAGGGGGTGAGGAGGCTCCTTATAGGGGGCAGAGAAGAGCGGGAGAAAGACTGACAGAGACAGAGAGACAGGAGGGAAAGGACAAGGCTCAGGGCGAGGGGGGAATGGACTCAAGACCGCACGGAGCCGGCTCCCTCCCCCTGCACAGAAGTTCAGCGGGGTGTGCGGGTGGGAGGTTCCGAAGACCCTCCCTTCCCACCCAGGCCCTTTCTCAGCAGTCCCTGGAGCACAGCACATACCAGAAAAAGCCAAGGGCAATGGAGGGGGCAGGGCGGCTGGGAGTATGTACACGCGGAGGAGGCGAGCAGAGCCTGGGACGGCGCCTCTGCCAGCAGGGAGTGGCTCACACTGCACTGAAGCGCTCGGCCGGTGGGGGGCTGGGGAAGGGGTCGCCCCTCCCTCTGCAAACTCCGTCCCCGGTCAGACAGTCCCCGGCTAGAGCGGCGAGGGGGGCAGAGGGAGAAAGAACAGAGGCTTCCATTGGGTCCTACTGGAGGGGCTGTCCTTCAGTCATCCGTGATGCCCTTGGCTCTCAGCTCCTCCTGCACCCGGGTCAGGTAGGTGGGGTCCGGGTACCCAAACCTGGGAGCAAAGAGAAATGAGGGTCAGGCTTACTCATATTACCCTCATGCTCACCCTCATTCTGGTGCCCCATTCTAGCCCCTCCCCACCTTCCTTAAGGTTATCCAAACCCAAGATCACTGAGCCCAATTCTGCTGATTTTTGTAGGTTAAGCTGGGCACATCACGACCAGGATGATTACAGGAGACACTGGGATGGACAAGATGGTTGAACAGTTTGGGGGTGGTCCTCTCCAGTTAGGAGGCTCCCACAGAGAAGGGGTTCCCTCTGTTGAAATGGGGAGAAGGGGTAGAGCCAGGAGAAGGGAAGGAGGAATGTCGCACAGCTGCGGTCCCCCTGTGCAGCTGGTCTTGTGGTGGATGTCGTTCCAAGTGATGACATTCGGTCTCCCTGTGGTCATGGAGGTGCCAATGGTGAAGGTGAGACGCTGGTCAAACGCCTTGCGGAACAGGGTCAGCACCTTGTTGCCCTCGGGGCAGTCCGGGAGGTAGGCCACCCGAGTAGTGCCAGGATACCGAACTCCTGGGTTTGGGTGTTCAGCCTGGGGGAATGGGGAGGCAGAATGAGCAGCTGTGCATCTTAAGGCCCATGGAGGGTCGTGGTGGCCAGCCTTCTGGCTGTGCACCCCCAGCTAATGATGCTGGGGCAGTGACAGCCTTCCACAGAAGGACCAGCTCTAGGGTCTGGGCACCAGAAGTCTGTTTCCAGACAAAATTCTCATCATTCAGAGGTTCTTTCTGCTCTCCCAATCCTGCAAGTAACAAACGTATTCTTGAAAGTGATGGAAGGTAAGCTGGGTCTTACTCTCCAGACAACTCAGCAGAAATGTGAAGACAGAATCATTTATCTGTCAGCTTTCCCTTCTCCACCTGAAAGCACTCCCCATGCATCCTCCACTGTCTAACCTGTTCCATTTTTCTGTTCCTCTCTTTCAGAGCTCCCTCATCTTCCTGCAAACCAGGACTGGACATTACTCTTTGCCAAACAAGAAGACACCTAAAGGCTCTTGGCCGCTCCTGTTTTAACCTTCGACTGTATGTAACAAAGTTTTCTGTCTCATAAATCTGGAATAGAGTTAACACTCCCAGCACTGTTGAGGGAGGTCAGAGTTTTCCTTCTGTGCTGGCCTGCACCTGAGCCGCCATCCTCACAGACTTCACCTCTGCTGACAATAGCTGTCAACATCCAAGTTCATCAAGGAAACAGAATTCGATTCCTTTCTTTCATACCTGATTTTCATGGGTGCCTTGGGGTCGTGGGGATGGAAAGGCTAGGCTTCAAGGGGGCCTCTTGCTCCAGGGCACTGAGCTGAGCGGAAAGGCATCCCAGGAGACAGACCGCACGACTATATCACATCTAACAACCACACTCCCCTCGCACCCAGCCTTCCTAAATCAGAACAATCAGCACAAGGAGCCCGCGGAAACCGAAGGGCAAGGGCAGCCGACATCTTCTTACCCCCTGGACACCGGGCGGGAAGACGTACTGGATGACGATGGTACCATACTTCTCATAGCTGGGCAGCAGGAGCGTGGCGTCCTTGGAGACCAGCATCCGCCCGTTCTGGGGCTGGTTGCCCACCAGCTGCCCATAGAAGCGGCCACACATGGGACAGGCCTTCTTCACCTGCAGGGCCCGGGTGATGCAGCCCTCGCAGAACGAGTGCCGGCACTTCTCCAGGGTCTTGGCGTTCTGGATCTCTCCCAGACAGATGGGGCAGGTGCTCTCCTGCTCGTCAGCCTCTTCCCGAAGGCGGGGAGGGAGGGGAGGGGGCAGGGCAGGAGGAGGCGGGGGAAGCCCCCGGGCCCCTGGGGGCAGGAGTGGGGCTGCCCGGAGAGGGGGCGGGCCTGGGCGGTGCAGCTCAGGGTGCTCCCCTCCACCCCCCAAAGCCAGGCAGCCCATAAGCTCCCCCTGCCTCTGAGCTTTCTTGAGCTCTTTCTCTGCCTCTTTGAGCAGCCCCTTGAGGGCCTTCCTGGCCAGGTAGAGCCCATTGGGAGCGGCGGGGGGCGGGCCCTGGGGGGAAAGCTGGAGAACATAGATGTCAGAAGTCTCGCCGTCGATGAGAATGGACACGTGGTGCTCCTCCCGGAGCTGGGCCAGCCGGGCGGGGGTCTCCTTGCTCAGGAAGTCCCACACAGGCTTGGAGACAGTCACTTTGTTCTTGCAGGTGCCTCCACAGGCTGCCATTCTGGACAGGACGAACGACACTGCCCCCAGGGTGAAAGGGACTCAGGGTGGGGGGGTCCCCATTTCACAGATACCAGTGCCTCCTCCTGCCCACTCCTTTCCAGTCCTATATTACCTCTACTCTCTCAGAGCCCAACCCCCAACTCCTCCCCCAAGTTCATGTTCCTCCCATCTTTCCAACTCCAGCACCCCCTGAAGAGCAAGAAAGCTGCTCTAACTTTATTATTGTCATTTAAGGTAAGCATCAGTCTTGGTTCTCCTACACTCCTCCCTAGATCACAGAAGCATCCTGGCCCTCCCCAACTCTGGACTGGGTTCTGTAAAAGGAAAGGAGATTTCGACCCCCGCTTTTTGCTCACTTTGATCCTGAAGAGCTTAGAATTGGCATGCAGGCGCGCTCTCTGTCCTCACTCCCTACTTGTAGGTTGTGTGACCTGGTGGGTGGAAAGGGAAAGGAGTGGAAAACCCCTTCTCCCATTGCCACGTGCCCCCACCCAGCAGCCCACGAGACAGAGGGGTCAATCTCCTGGGAATGGGATTACTAGGAACACGGAATGGAGGAAACCAATTTAAGGGTGAGAGTTGGGGTTTCCATGAAAGGCAGATACCTGGGAAGCCCATGGACGGTGACAGCAGAATTCCCTGTCTCCACACTCAGCTGACCAGGACTAGGGGAGGGGGGCGTGAGGGAGGAGGGGTTAGGATGACAAACATTACCGTTTGCCCCAGTCAGCCCAGAAGCAAAACAAAAACTCCTTCCATTTCCTCTCCCTGTCTTTTGCAGGATTTCATCCCCAGCCTCTGGCCAAGTTCCTAAAGAAGGAACTTCAACAAGCTAACTTTCCTCTTCCTCAGCTCTGGGGCTCTTAAGAAAGCCTAGGGACACAGAGTAGAGAAGTCTGGAAGGGAAAAGCCCACACACAGAAGGTCTGTGTTGCCACCTCCCTCAGATCACAAGGACAAGAATATCTCCTTTGCTCCCCAGCTTCTCGCCCTGCTCCACATTTTGCCAATAATTCCGCTCCTAGTGCCAGAGAGCCTTCCTTGAGTGTTAACCCAGTCCCTTCTGCTGGAGTCTATTTGGAATGCGGACAGAGTGGCAGAAGCCCCTGCAGTAACAAAGTTCTCGCTGTCACCTTTTAAACCCAGTGCACGAAGTCCAGGCCTGCCAGCAACCTAGGCTGCATTTCAGGAGGGGTGGAGCTCACGCAGGGGATCCGCTGGAGCACCCTGATATGGACCACCCCCCCCCGCCCCCAGTCTTGCTGTGTTCAGCTACAGAGCTATCCCTACAACACCTCCAAATGCGGCCCAAATAGAAGGGCCATTAGTGTGACCTCAATTCCTTGACTGATCCAAAAGGGAGCAGCTCTCCATTTGTGCCTCCTTCCCAGTGCCCTCAAGGCCAGATGCACCTCAAGATTCAGAAAGCGAAATCGGAACCCGAGAGCCGCGGCTCATTCGGTCCATCCAGGTGGAACACCCCCTCCCCATCAGAGAGAAGCCAGGACCTAGGTGTCCTTTGCTCCGAGTCCTTCTGGCACAGAGAAGGGAGGCGGGGCCACAGCTTTTGATGGGTCCGATTCCTCTGGGGCAGCCCAGGCCGGACACGGGGCCAGTCCCTCCCGCCCGAGAGAGGCCGGCGACAAGGGCGGCCAGGAAGGGCCAGGGTCCGTGGGGGCATCGACGGGGGCATCAACGGAAGCATCTCCCCCCCTCCCCCCACGACCTCCTGCCAGACGCGACCCGGAACCAACTCCCCGCATCCCCGGCTCGGCAGAGCCCCCGCAGCCCCACCACTGGGTGGGGATGCATGTTGGCCGGATCGCGGGCCCCAGAACCCCCAAATGGAGGCCCAGGCTGGAGGGTAACAGACAGAGGATCGGCAGGGCCGGGACCGGGCCCCCCCCCCCCCGCCCCCGGCACCGCGCGCAGGAGACCGAGGAGGGGGCGCAGGGGAAGCGGGAGGGCGCGCGGGGGGTGCGAGCAGGGTCCGGAGGGCGCGCGGTGGGTGTGGGGGGCGCCGGGCTCACCTACCTCTCGTCAGCGCCGCCATTGCCGGTCACATGACTGAGGCTGTTGCTGGGATGACGGTCTGGGCCTTAGCAACAAGGGCGGGGTGGGGGGGGGGGTGGGGGGGAGACCCCGAGAAGGTGTGTGGGGGGGAGAGTTTGCAGGGGGTGCAGACTGAGGAAGAGGGAAGGAAGGAGGATGGCACCCCCTTCCCCCTCCCAGGTGATAATCACCGTTTCCTTTGACCCGCTTCCATCCACAAGCCCCTGCCTTCCGCCCCAAAACAGAAATGGAGGCGCCGTCCCAATCTTTGGAGGCGGGGGGTGGTGTCGTGGAGCCCAGGGTGGGAGGTTAAATCCCTTAAAGACGCTACCCTTCTCGCTTTCCCCTCCGGAGAGGGGCCCTCCCCCTGTTCTTTGCCAGCCAGCTGCGTAGCAGCTTCTGGAAGCTGGTGGCAGATGGGTGGGTGAGGAGTGTCGGTTTAGGTAGGTGGGGAAGAGGGGGCAATTTCTCTGTGATCCTTTTTCTAGAAAGGCCTTTGAGGAATAGGAGGTTGGAAGAAGAGTCGTAGTAAAAAGCATTGGTTCTAAAAAATAAATCCAGGACTAAGACGTTTCCCTTCTTTATTGCTTGCCTTTCCCTAGATTGTTACCTTCTGTCAAACCTGCGTTCAGATGGGTGTTGATCTCTGATTTTTCTCTTTACACTGAGGCTGGTGCAGAATGAGAAGTGAATACATTTTGTCCAAAAAAATGCCTTGGAGTGACGGTATCAAGTCTATGGTTGAAATAGAGTTAAAAACTCACAAAGGGGTGGGGGGAACCCTCTTCTGCTTCCCACAACAGAGCCAGCAGTCTCCGCCCCCAGTCCAACTCACTTCCCTGGGGCCACATCAAGCCAGGTTTTTCCAACGGTCAGAACTCCTTGGCCAAACAGTACCGGATGGATCTCTGACTGGCAACCACCTCTGCTGATCCACCCCCTTTCTTCACTGTCTCTCCAGGCTGGCTGGCTGGTCACTCCCTTCTTTACTCTCCCAGGACCCTGACCTCCACACAAAGGCCATCTTTCCCAGGAAGCTGGGGAAACACTGGGTTCCTTCTCCTTTAGCTCCTGTGTGCTCGGTGCTGTTAAGACTCGCTCACCTTTAGAGACGTGAGTGTGATCTAGCCCAGAACCCTGGGGAAAGCGGGGGGAGGGGGTTCATATCACCTCAATTGTCCCCCACCCCGGAGCTGACTCCTGCAAAACTGGGGAATGTCTTCCATTCCCATGCACACTCCTAGCCACCTTTTAAGCTCACAGCCATCTATCTTGAAACCCACATCTTTAGGGACCCAACACCTTAAAGATCAGAGTTCTTTACTTGGTCGCTGCACCCCTAAGCCCAGGCTTCCAAAAAAGAGGAGTGGGGGGAGAAAAAAAGGAATTTCTGTGAAGGAATTTGAATTCAATAATTTATTTTCCTTATAGTGACAGCAATGGGAGTAAATACACGAGATCTTTTTATTAATAAAACAAAAAGAGATGAAAAACAGAAGCAACAAATGAAAACCATAATGCTTACGATACATCAGCCAGAAATGGGTCAGAAAACCCATTTCTAAAGAACAAAGTTGCTGGTGTCATGGAGTTTTATTGCATTCAACAAGGGAAAGGTAGACGGTGGAATGAAAAAGATCCATGAGGCTCCTGACAGGAAAATTTTATAGGGGCTCCAATCCTCAACTGGGGACTCCTCTTGTTACTTGCTTTGGAGCAGAAGATGGAGGGGCAAGAGGAATTCTCCTTTATGACCTCATGACTTCTTGTGAGACAGATCAGTCCAGTCAGATACAGAGCAGAGAGTCTTTGTATCCCTCCAGGCCACTTGCTGGTGCCCCATCTTTGTGTTCCAGAGAAATGCAGAAGCCTCAGGGGAGATGCAGGATCACAAGAATGGCTGCCTGAGCCCCAAAGGCATTGCGGGGAACTATCCCAGCTCATCAGGGTCCACTGTATTCTGAGAATATCATGCATCAGCTCGACTCTCTTTGGAGGGGGCTGGGTGACTGAGTTATGGCTCTGACTCCTCTCTGGGGGTGGAGAGTGAAGATGACAAAGAGGGCCATCTGTCCCCTGGGAGACACAGTAGCAGTTAAGATGGACAGAAAAGAACAAAATAACAAATCCAACTGGGAAAAGGGTTTGAGAAGGGGCAGGGGAGGAAGTGTGCTAGGGGCACACTTCCAAGGAGTGGAGGCGGCTCCCCCATGTGAGACTCCCATTCTCTTGAGATGACCAGGGTTAACCCAAGTAGAGGTATTCCCTTCTGCTGGGACTCAAACCTCCAGGATGGCTAGACATGAAGAAAGGAAATTTAACACAGGGAGTGAACCTTACACCCCTGGCTCATCCGTCCAGCCTCCAGAACTGACCACACCCCCACTGGAGGGTTCCAGCCCAGGAGGGATGTGAGGTCCTGGGGAAGAGCAGCAGCAGGCAAACAACTTCACCCAGGATCCAACACTGTGGCCAGCTCTAGTGGGGGCCGGTGGAGAGAGGGGAGAGACCGGAGAGCAGTCAACCCTCAACAGAGACCTCCAATTCCCTAAATAATCACAGGAGTCCTCGAAGGTCCCACCTCCACAAGCTGCCAGCCCACCAACCACTCTCCACCCCACCTCGGTAAGATTGGCCCTGTCCCAATGTGTGTGTGCATGCTGGCACCCACATCTGTAGTGTCTTGAAAATCTTCCATCCCAGGGCCTACTAGGAAGGAAGCATGCCACGAGTTCTATAAAGTTATCAGCAAAATCCAGATACTCTTAGTTCATCCCACACAGCAAAGGGCATCAGTTAAGTTGCTTGAGCCAGGTCCATCTGTGCAGTCAGGTCTTGAAGATGGCCAACAACCCCCTTCCCCCAGCTCCTCCTCTGTTATGGAAACAATAGGATATTATACAAAGATCAAGGCACTTGGGAGAAAGTCAACAGTAAACACTCTAATGAAGCAAGCCGACTTGGTGGGGAAGGGAAAGAGGGAAGGGAGAGAAGGGAAGGAAGGGGAGGGAAAACAATGTATCGGTATTTCTGAGGGCCAGGAAGGGCCTACTCAACAAGATGGAGTTATTTGGATGGAAGGAGCCTGTAGCCTGAACTTAGCAGAAGAGGAAGAGAAGTTAGTGGCCTAGAACATCCACAATTCCCCCATGCCTCTCAGACCCCCACCACCTAAAACATAGAGCAGCAGTCACCATGAGGTCAGGCAGTCTCTTAGGCAAAGATGTTGGTAATAAAATCCAGGAATCGCTTAGCATACTGCTCAGGATGGACAGTAGAGATCTCTGCCCCCGCCTGCGAGAGGAAGGTGCGGAAGAGGGTGTCAGCGCCCGCGGCCCTGCCCCGCTCCCGCCCTCCTGACCGGCTCCAGACCCAGCCCTCCACCCCCTGCCACCGCACCGCTCGGCGCGAGGCTGGCGGAGCGCGCGCAGCGGGCAGGAGGCTTCGGCCAGCCCTCACCCCGTGCTTGACGGTCTTGGCCGCGTGGGCCGCTTTCTTCTTGGCGTCGTACTGCGTCAGGATGTCGATGAGACCCATGAAGTACACCTCCTGCTGAGGGGCCCCTGGGGGAGAGGCCAGCGGTGGGGGCCGCGTGCGGTCCCGGTCCCGCCCCGAGCCTCCCCACCACCGCCGAGACGCTAAGCAGCCTCCCAGCACCACGCTGGGCCCTGTGCCCCAGGACCCCCTGCCTCCATCTCCCGGCGCGCTCTCACCCTCAGCGCTCCGGATGGCGTAGACGTCGACGAAGGACTCGAACTCGCCGGGGCCCAAGGGCCGGTGCGGGTGGAGGCAGCCGCCGACGCCCTCAGCGGAAGCGCCACAGGAGCCCAGCGGCGCGGGAGGTGCCGCCGGGCCGCAGGCGCCGTCCGCCTCTGGCTCCTCCTCCCGCGCCGGCGCGTCCGCCTCTGGCTCAGAGCCCCGAATGATGTCGTGGATGCCCAGAAGAAGGCTGTAGCCCATGATCTTCAGCTGCACCAGGAACTGAAGACCCAGCGGCGGGTCAGAGGCCCCGGACGGCTCCCCCACTCCCACGCACCACTCTTACACCTCCCTCTGAATATCCAGGGCCCTCCTGGGGAAAGGGGGCGTAAAAACGGAGGGTGGGGAGCACACCATTGCGCTTTAGTGCCTAAATGTCCTGCTATCTCAAGATCATTGTTTTTTAAAGAATTCTTTTATAATCATTCTTTCAGTTCATACCAGCCACCCCCTCCAAAGGTCACCTCTAGAAGATTTTCATCAAAGTTAAAGTTGTGCAGTCTGTCCAACTCTTTGGGACCCCATGGACTGTACAGTCCATGGAATTCTCTAGGCCAGAACACTCGAGTGGGTAGCCAGTTCCCTTCTCCAGGGGATCTTCCCAACCCAGGGATTGAACCCAGGTCTCCCACATTGCAGGCGGATTCTTTACCAACTGAGCTATCAGGGAAGCCAAAACCCCCTACAGGCAGAGAGCCCCAAGGGAAGGGGATGAGATCCCTCCTATCGTAAATGGAGGCGGGGGAGCAAAGAAGAGAAGCAGCGTCATTTCCCAGAGCACCCTGACCATCACCTCCACATCTCTCTTTAGTTTCTCGAGAAAGACTTTCTTCTCCTCTTCACCAATATAAACCTTCTGGCTCCTGTTGAGGAAGTCCATGTCCTTGAGGGTGGGCAGCTCCTTACCCTGAGGGCGGGCAAAGGTGCGGCTTGGGATGCAGGCCTCCCGACCACCTCAGCCAGTGCGCCCTGCTCTGCGTAGCGCCATCGCTCGCTCTGCGGCCCGAGGGGACAGGCTTACCACCACCCACCTGACTTCACTGGGAGGCTGCCCAGAGTCTGCTCTTACCGCCAGTGCTGCCCCCAGACTCACTGCGGCCATATCCCAAATCACACCCCACTGCTTTCTGCCTGGGGTTTCAGTTCACACACTCCATTCTGACTTTTCTTTCTTCTTCTTAAGCAAAGACAGCTGGTTTGAATGAAAGCTCAGGATGGGAGGTGGTTGGTGAGCAGTTTGCTCTTGAAGTCTGGCATTTTCACCCATTCCCAAACCCAAGACAGTGACAAGAAGGCCCTTCCCGCTGCCCCTTCCAAAAAGTCCCTGGATCAGGAAAAGTTTACATCTCTCTTCTTTTTTGGTGGTTTAAGGTAAGAATTAATATCCAAGGACCCCTACCTCTTTATGCTAAGAAGATCCCTTTCACCTGCCCCCCTCCCCCCTGTCGTCTAGAATTACATCACCTTCTCCTTATCGCTGGCTTCCCGGGACACTAGGGAGCCCTGTGGAGAGACCCAAAGGCCAAGTCAGCAGAAGGGGCTAAAGGCACAGTGGGAACCCGCCTCCCAAGACAAGTCCTCAAGCCCACAGCCTCCTTCCTTTAAGACGAAGCACGCAGCGCCCTCCCCGGCCGCCCCGCCCCTCGGGCCCTCTCTCCTGACCTTGAGGTCGTATTTCCTGTGCACGGGGAGACGGTGGCTGAACATGTTGCGCATCACAAGCATGTAGCTGTCCTCACTGTCCACGCTCACCCGGTACATCCCCAGGAACTGGGGCAGCAGTGTGTTGCCGTGACACTTCACAATGTACTGGGGTAGGAGGGAGGGAGGAAGCAGGAGAGATGAACAACTTAGGGGCGGGCATTCCAATGCTCCTGTCCCACAGGGAGCCAGAGAACTTCACACAGACAGGTTATAGGTCAGAAGTGGTGAGGCGCTTTCTGAAGATGCCCCAGGTTATCCATGCAATTTCTGAATCCTCATTTCCTCTGATTTATCTCAGATGTATGATATCTCTTAAAGCGCCTTCTTTCCTTTGTCATCCTTTGAGATGAGGAAGGTAGGTGTGGTTATCCTCGTTTTGACCCTCTTTATTCATTGAACCAGGAGCGGAAATTACATCAACAGAATGATTTTACCTAGTCTAGTATTTCTTGGTGGGCTAGATTCCCACAGTAAAACCGTTTGCATGATGGCCTCTAATTTGGCTTCCTAAGAAAATCCCCTTTTCAGTGCTACTGTCTCTCAGGGTTGCTGCCTTTCTCTTCAGAGCCAGCCTTCTCAGAACATTAGTCAGCTATCAGTCCATTTTCTCTCATTCATACCTCAAACCAATGAAATCAGATTATACTCGCATTTCTCCTCTGAAATTTCTCTACTCTTCACTGCCTCAAATCCCTCAGCTACCAACTCAAACAGGCATCTTGTCATTGTCGTATCTCAACTGGCTGGTACTTGACGCTACTGACCAGCCTGAGCTCCCATCACACCACTCCTCTCTGTCCTCAAATCCTGTGTGGAGTGAAGTAGGGCATAAGTCATTAAGAGCATCCGACAGCTCCAGCCAAGAAGACCCAAATGTGGTGCTGGCCCTTGGGGCTTCAGCCTCAGCCTCACTGGTCACATGAGGGTAGGAGCTCTCTAGATCTGTCCCCTGACAGGAACTTCTGGGGCACAGCTGGGGACTGAGGCCTGGCAGAAGGAGGAAAAAAACCACCACAACAGAGTCTCTGGGCAGCAGTGACCATGTGGCCTTGCTTGGTCCCCATCTCCCCTCCTTTTTTCCTTCCTTGGGGTCATGGTTGTGGGTTTAGAGAGCCTGCGTAGTCTAGTCGCTGGGAGGAGCAGAAGAAAAGGTTTTTGCTCCTTTAAACCTGATGGGGGAGGCCATTTGTATTTGGAAAATGCTCTATACTTGGGGACTGCCTGAATTTGGAAGATTTATTAAATCTTAGTATCCTATTCTCAACCTCCAAGGTGTATTGATAAATTACTAGTCTGTCTTTTTTAAACCTTAAAACTTTTTTAATGTGCATTTCACGCCAACTTTTTTGTAGAGCTATATCAAAAACAACAAATCTGGCCTCACATCACAGTGTACCTCAGAGAGGAGCATTCTGTTATTTTTATGAGGCGGGAGTTAGTGGAGCTGTGGAATTAAAACTTGGCAATCACATTAAAAAAAAAAAAAAGGCATCCCTTAGTCTCTTTTATGGACTCTTTACTTGCCCAAGGTTCTGTCCTCAACCTTCTTTTCATTTCACTCTACATTTCCATAATCTTATCTATATTCATGGTGATAAGTACCATCTACTCACCTGTAGCTCTGAAATCTAGACTAGAAAGAAATCTAAAATTAGAAAGAGATCTGATTCTTCCTCCCGAACTCCATACCCCAACCACTCACAGGACATCTATATCCAGATGAACTGTGGAAACCAGAAACTCAACATGCCTAAATCACAATTGTCTTCCTCCAAAGACCTGTTTCTTTTCCTGCTTCCCAACTGGGCACCCAGGAATTTGGAGCCCCTTTGCCTTAATTCCTGCAATTCTCCCAAAGGTCTTCCTTTCCACTTTCACTACCATCACCCCTCCAGGCTCGTGTCATCTTTCACCTGGACTGTAACACTTACCTCCTCACTGGTGTCACCACTCTCAGTACTTCCCCTCTACAATCCATTCTCTAAAATTTTGCCACAGGGCTATTTCTAAATGACATATACCTCACTCCCCTGCAAACCACCTTTCAGGATAAAGCCCAAACTCTCTGTGTGGCTTATAAAGCCCTTGCCTAAGCGTCCTTCCACAATACCTTATCCTGGTCACACGGAATTTCTTGCAGTTCCGCAACATCAAGCCCGTTCATGGCTCTGTGCCTTTACAAGTGCTGCTTTCCTTTGCCTAGAGTGCTCTCTTCCACCATGCCCAATGCCTGGTCCCCACTAGCATGCGTGAATCCGCTCCCAGGATACTCCCTCTAAAAACTCTCCTGGAGCACCTCTTGCCCCAGATGGGCTGGGATGCTCTTCCTCTGCCCACCCAGAGCATTCTCTACATTCCTCCACTGCCCGCACACAGCCTGCTGTGTATTAACTGATGCTAGCTTACCAGTCTCTGCCATTAGAACAAGAGATGCTCAACGGCCAGGGCCATTTCATTCACCTCTTTCTTTACTGTCTGACATAGGACCTAATAACAACAGACATGGGTTAGCTGTTGAATAACCAAAAACTCTTTTAGAGTCTTTCATTTATTCCTTGCTCATTGATTTTGGTGAGATTTTCCTTCAGTAGAAAGATGTTCAGGTATTTTTTATTCCCAAAATATTCCAGAAACTTCACATTCCAAATTCATCTGCTCAGACAGAATAGCTTCCCTAATCTCACTTAGGGCTGGTTATGATCATGGCTTCTCCCCTCCAATTTATCCCAATGGTACACTCATCGTGGTTTTCTCCCCAAACTGCATTTATTCCTGATAGTACATTTGATGTTGGCACTTCATCTAATTCTGACTTAGTCTGAAACTTATACTTTGCTATTCAGGTACCCTTTATGTATCTATCAACTCACAGCGGCTTTAGATTAGAAGTACCAAATGAGAAGGAACATGTCTAAACTCTCATTTAATCAAACACAAATAGGTATGCAAAGGCTCTCTTTTTAAAATGCCTTGTTTTTCAAAAACATGATGTTGAGTGCTATAGGCTATAGGGAAGAAGAAGGACAGGAAGTGTCCCAAGTGCTCTGAAGCTGAGCTATGAGTAGGGAGGGAAAGGGAAGAGTGGGCTGAGAGAGGTCTGACCTGGTGGTAGTTGGACAGGTTGCTATGCATGTCAGCAATGTCCTCACTGGATACTTCTTTGATGACCAGAGTCCGATCATAGGAGATAAGGAAGCGACCATCACTGCCTTCACTTTCAGTTGGGGGACTTCGGGTAAGGGATACCTGGGGACACAGAAGAGACTAGGAGCTCTTTTCCTCCCCATTTATATATGGATGCATAGGACAGTGGCCAACTGAACACATCTGCAAGAATATAAAACCTTGGCATAAGAGGATGAAAAAGGGTTCTACATCCAGTGTCCATACATAGAGTGAATGAAATGAGTGGCAAAATTTTTAATGCATCTACATTTCTCTCCAAGGACAGGCTTTATACCTTTCTTCAGATTTTTGAAGACGCCTGATGACAGGATAGTAATGACCACAGAAAGGTAAAGAATACCTGTGAAGGTCCTCATTCCTCCAAACATGATTGTCCCAAGGATTCCCCTTGTTAGGGAGAAAGGCCTACCCTTTCCCCAAAATGGACACTCACCAGGTAATCCTGGTCATCAATACCAAACCGATCACGCAGGTTCCTGAAGACTTGGGGACAATACTCCTTGAACTTGAAATGACTGGGCAGATTCTCCCTGCAATAGGGGTTTTCAAGATAGGAAAACAAAGTAACAATGTTATCTTACATTTATAAAGGGCTTTACAGTTTATAAAACACCTTCACACATATCACCTTATTTGATTCTCATAGAACCCGCGTGAGATCCTCTATTCAGCGTGTTGTTCCCGTTTTATGGAAAGGGAGACTGGCTCAGGGTGGCTGAGTGGCCTGCTTAAACCACGTGACTGCTAAGTGGCTTAAGTAGAGCCAGGATCCACTGCCCACCCAGACAGCAGCATTTCCCAAATCTCAAGCAAGTCAGAGACATCCTTAAATCAGCAATAGGTCTTGAATGGCATCTTCTGAAATTAGGAGGGTTTACAGGACTCAGGTGTTTCTTTCAGGGAGTACCTCTCAGAAGCTAACGGTAATGGCAACTAAATGTATTTACGCTGTGGAATTTTTAGGCTAGAGGAGAGGCAAACTAGTACACGTAGATAAGTGTGTAGGGAACACTGGAAATTATTTTAGTGGTTTCTTTACAAAAATACTGAATTTCTGCATTGGGAAGAAATTTAAGCAATACAATAACAACTTGTAAGTTGCCTTCGAAATCTAAAACCTTCAACTCATTCAACCTTAACTCTTAAAATGATTTCTTCTCTTTTCTAGGAAGGTTGACGAGCAGAGCAGGGATTCCACATACCTGTGGAAAAGGTGATTGTTGACCTTGATCTTGGAGCTAGCCTTAAAGTCATCTGGCAGCAGCATCACCGGGGGAGGCACCTGGCTGAGCTCATTGATCTGATAAGTCAGAATAAGAATGGGAAGGCAGTGAGGAGGGGTGTGGAGAGCTACTTATACACTGTGTCTGGGAAAGAGTCAGAAAAGGGTCACTGGAAGGACTGCTGCTGAAGCTGAGGCTCCAGCCAGTATTTTGGTCATCTGATGTAAATAGACGACTCATTGGAAAAGTCCCTGATGCTGGGAAAGACTGAGGGCAGAAGGAGAAAAGGGCGTCTGAGGATGAGATGGCATCACCGATGCAATGAACATGAACATGGGCAAACTGGGAGATGGTGGACAGGAAGGCCCGACATGCTGCAGTCCATGAGGAGATGATGGACAGCAAGGCCTGGTGTGCTGCAGGCCATGAGGTCGCAGAGTCGGACACAACTGGGAGACCAAACAGCAACCACCTCCTTCCTTTAGATACCCTGGTTATGCATATGCCTGACAAAGGTGAGTGTATGCTGTCTTTGCTGCCCAAAGAGGCCTGCAGCAAGCAGCCCTCACACACGGCCCCTCACAGTCCCGCCCCCGTGGAACTTCATGCTCACAACAGTCATTTTATATTAGGCAAACTCTGTAAGCAACTCTGGATTATTTTTAAAGCTGTGAGAAATTCTAGAAAAAAAAAACCCTCAGCCGACTCAAGACATTCAAGACAAACAGCTCCATGCTCCGCTGGCAACAAAACAAGAGATGTTTTCAAAGTACAGAGAGTTAATGGGACTCTGAGGGGTCAACAGCAGCAAGAACGAAATGCCCATATCCTAAAGGAGGCATCTTCTTACAAACGGGATCTGTTCTTCCAGACTACTCTGCCCCAGTTCTTGGAGTAGGTCCCCACCTGCCTGCATGTAAGGTAAGAGAAAAACAGCTGATTTCTGCGGGAATGCGGGCAGGCAGAGGATGTGAGCTCGTTTGTTCACCGAAGTCAAGCCAAGCACAGCCCACAGCGTGCAAGCACCACGTGCTCTCCCCAGCCCCAGGAATCAGCAGCCTGCTAACTCCGGGTGGAAAGGGGGTTCCTGTACCAAGAAATGCTCAGGGTGCTTTCTCCCGGGACTGACAAGGGTGCCGCAGCATCTTCACAGCCTTCGTAGTCCACGTGCACTTGGCTCTAACCGCTGGTTTATGTGAGCTCCCCACCCGGGCTGTGAGCCCCCAGAGGACCAGTTCTCGTCATCTGCATCTGTCCGCTGACTAGCACAATGTCTGCCACTCAGTGGTCCCCAAGTGTTTATTAACCGAATAAATGGATGCCTTGCCTTCTCTTACTTGATCATGCAACAGAAATTCAGTCTAACCTAAATCCCATACACTGCCATGAAAAAGCAGCTCCTCTCATTCTCAGTAGAAAAAGAAGACAGAACATATTCCTCCAGAAAAAAAAATAAGAAAAAGAAGCCACTGGAGATTTCCAGCCTAAAATTCAGCTATAGTTCTTCATGGCCCCCTCCTCGCCACCTGCTGTTAAGCAGGCTGACTCATCACTAGGACATATGTTCAAGGAATTTCTCCATTCCAGACCCTTTAAGTAAATGTGTGCTGGCTGGAGGTGGGGTGTTGGGACTAAAGTAGACATACCTAGGGAAGCTGAGGCAGGTCTTCTGCGTAATTTCCCCAATCTTTACCAAAGGAAAACACTCCTCCTCGAACTTCCCGAAGGAATGGATGGATGAGTCACGAAAGAGGAAGCCCCACTTCCGTTAGCCTTGCCCGCACCAAGTGGCACAGGCTGAATGCTCTTCGATAAGACATTACCAGCCAGGAACCTGGGGACCACAAATGCAAAAGGGGGCTGACAGGCCCCATACAACTTCCTGAGCCCCAAACTAAGAGTGACAAACCTGTGTTCCTCCCCGTTCCCTTCCATCTCTGCAATGCTATATAATGGCTGTAATACAACACTCCATACGACTGTAACGTTTCAAGGAAATTGCATCTTAAAAATTTTGCCTGTCACATTCAAGATCACTGCGCTCCTCCCACTCCAGCCATGAGAGAAGGGAGGGCAATGGCTGTGCTTTCTTCACTTGAGCTATCTTCAGAAACCAGGGATGCACTGGCCTCTCCTGTCTCCTCCTGATTCCCAGGCCCACGGTCTAAGCAGCTCCCTGATTCTAAAGTTCACCACCGTAATGTCCCCATGACCAGAACTCCTGAGCCAACTCTTCATTCAAAGATGACCCTCAGTTACACCAAATACCATTACCCCAGCCAGCAAAGGTAAGACCACAAGCTTATGCACATTAAGAGCTGAGTGAGAGCAACCACCAGGATCAGGGCAGCGTAGCCTCTCTGAAATGCTGTACCTCTGGAAGGGAAAGGGACATGCACGATTAGAAGATCCAGGAAGCCTGGAGCTTCCCCTCAGAGCCAAGGTTCCAAAGTCAAGGAAGGCGGCTGGAAAGCAAGGTGCAAAGGAGAGTAAACGAAACAGTTATTTCCCTTCAGTTACTCTTTCCGCTCCCCTTCTACACGCACTCTCTCACCGGAGACCTCACCGCCAGCAACCTATTACAGTCACTCCCCCTGAAGTCCTTCCAGATGGAGCCAGGTCCCGGCAGGGCTCCATGGCCTGGGGCTGAAGCTGGAACTGACTGGGAGGAGCCAGGGAGCTGGATTTCACGCGAGGACGAAGGAAACACAGTGAAGGAGTAAAGGGCGGAGGAAGAGACAAAGCCTAAGTTAAAGAAAAAAAAAAAAAAGCTTTACAGCACGAAGGTAGGGTGGGAGAGACACCTGAGGGCAGGTGGGCAGGGACCGGGACAGCCCGGTGGAGAAGCGGCAGCGCGACGGGCTCCGGAAGCGGCAGCCTGGGAATGGACACGCCCGGAGGAGCTGAGGGGTGAGGACGGGGCCACAGCGGGGCCGGGGCAGGGTCTCACCGAGTGGGCTACGCCCCACAGGAACACGCCCACCAGCGGGTCGGCCGCCCGGAACACCTTCACCTTCTGCTGCACGAAATGCTTCTTCTTGGTTTTAGAGGCGAAGCCGAAACCCGCGCCGGGGGCCGCTGTCGCCGCCGGCACAGCGGCCGGCGGGACCGAGGAGGACGCCATAGTCTCCCGGGAACCCGGCCGAGGGGAAGCTGGAGCCGTCTGCGAAGCGGGTTCCCGACCCCGGAAGCGGCGCTCACCTGCGCCTCCGTCACGTGACCGGAGGCTGGCCCGCCGGCGCGCGAGCCGGGCGGGGTAGGCTGACTCCGCCCCCTGCTGGCGGCCCGCGCGCCCCGACGCCTGCGCGGTGGGTGGGCTCACCTGACGGCGGGGAGGCGCGCGGAAGCCTCTTCCCTGGAGGGCTGCGCGCGGCCCGCGAGGCCCAGACCAGTCATCCAGGCGTTGGGGTTGCTGCTTGGGCTGGAGCGATCTAACCCTATGGTCGAGGGCTTCGTAGCTGTAAAGTGACCGCTTTCCAGTTTGGCCCAGTTTCTAGCAATAACCTCCCGGCGGAGGCTAACCTGAAAGCATTCGTTTACGAAGTAGGAAATCCCTTAAGTGGGTTTTGTGCTTTTAAAGAAAGACCGCTCAGGCATCGTTCTGGAGGGTGACCAGAGTATTGCCAAAGTCTAGGCACGAGGTGAGAAGCTAAAACAATGACTGTTGGGATAGAAAGAAGGGGATGGATCTAAAGGTTCGGTTTGATGTCAGTGCGTAAAAGTCAGTGGATGTGGGCTTTAAGGGGGAGGGAGACGCTGGGAACGAATCCCGGGCTTTTGCCTAACAATGTTTGGGCACCTGAGGGCAGCAGGACATCTGGGCTGGGAATACGGGTTTAATTTTCGTGAGGAATCTGTAGGCGTGAATGACAACTCCAAGGAAAGTCCAATGACTGGACCCTGGCATAGACCAGCATGTGAGAGGCTAGTGGGAGAAGCCTGAGAAGGGGTGGCCAGAGAAATAAAAAGGGCCAGGAGGGCAGGGTCACAAAAGCCAAGGGAGCTGAGTTTCCAGAAGGAAGGAGTGGAAAGCGGTGGCAAATGTCCTGGAGAGGCAATGAAGACAATGGGGAAGTGCCCCTGTTGTCTTTAGCAACTAGTTGTCTTTGGCAACTAGGGGCTTCTTTTTTTCTTCTTAGTTGGCTGTGTTATGTAGCATGAGGAATCTCAGTTCCCAGAAGGGGAATTGAACACATGCTCTCTAAAGTGGAAATGCAGAGTCTTAACCACTGGACTATCAGGGGAGTCCCACAACTAGTAACCTTTGGAAAGCACTTTCAGCAGAACAAGAGCCAGATCAGGATGGGCTGAGGGATCAATAGGAAGTGAGAAAGAGGGGAGGGAAAGCTTAAGACTTTTTCAGGAAATTTGGTTATGAGAAAACCTGGCAGGGAGTGTCTTATAGAGAAACACATGGTGAAACACACTTCTTAGGGGGAACTTGCCAAGGAGAAGAGACAAAGTCATTGACACAGAAGCTAACATAAAAACAGGAAGTAGAACCGCCATGTGACCCAGCAGTCCCGCTGCTGGGCACACACACCGAGGAAACCAGATCTGAAAGAGACACGTGCACCCGAGTTCATCGCAGCACTGTTTACAATAGCCAGGACATGGAAGCAGCCTAGATGCCCATCAGCAGACGAATGGGTAAGAAAGCCGTGGTACATATACACCATGGAATATTACTCAGCCATTAAACAGAATACATTTGAATCAGTTCTAATGAGATGGATGAAACTGGAGCCCATTATACAGAGTGAAGTAAGCCAAAAAGATAAACACCAATACAGTATACTAACGCATATATATGGTTGTTAAAAAGATTGTAACAATAACCCTATATGCAGGACAGAAAAAGAGACAGATGTATAGAACAGACTTGTGGACTCTGGGAGAAGGCGAGGGTGGGATGATCTGAGAGAACAGCATCGAAGCATGTATATTATCAAGTGTGAAACAGATTGCCAGCCCAGGTTGGATACATGAGACAAGTGCTCGGGGCTGGTGCACTGGGAAGATCCAGAGGGATGGGATGGGGAGGGAGGCAGGAGGGGGGATAGGGATGGGGAACACATGTAAATCCATGGCTGATTCATGTCAATGAATGTGTAGTGGCAAAAACCACTACAATATTGTAAAGTAATTAGCCTCCAACTAATAAAAATGGGAAAAAAAAAACAAACAAGCTAACAAAGAAGATGCAAACTGCCCAAGACTGCACCGCTTTTAGTTTCTCTATCGAGTCTATGTTAAGTACCTCAAGAAAGAAAATCTAGAAGGGCCTTGATTTAGTCCCAAGAAGGGAGATTTATCACTTGTCAGAAAGTAGAAACAAAAGGGATCTGTGTAGATAGAAGTGTATAGGGGTGTGTGTTGGGGGGGTGAATGAAGAATTTCACACTCCATCACCTTAATTTACTTAACGCTTTAAAACAGACAAAGTTATTGCCTAAGAGAGGCGAGTAAGAAGGGATTTAAGAAGGGAGAGTTTAGACCAGTTGCTCTGGGAAGCGGGAGAGAAAACAGCGGAGATACACAGAAGGAGTGTTAAGCCAGCAGCAAGGTGGGTTAGCTCTGTGACTCTCTGCTTTTAACTGCCCATGTTCTGGTTGCGGGGTTTTCTCTGTTCATCGCAGAGGCTTTTAAGTGAGAGCAGAGACCATGGGTAGGGCTGTGCCCTGGAGTGGGGGGTCAGAAGGGGGACTGTGGTTAACAATCCTGGGCCTAGAGAATGGAGCTCTTGGCAAGGGAGGGAACTGATGTTGGGGCTGACGGTGGTCTGTGGGAGAACAAGGAAGAAAACAGGATCCCATTGTTGTTAAAAATTACAGACAACCTGGATAGGTGTCCACCAACATTGAATGGTTGAATAAATTATAGGGTAAGTTTGTATATATGTATAAAAAATTATGTATATTTTTTAGTGAGGGAAGTATGTATATTGACATGAAAAGATCTCTAGGATATATTGTCAAGTGGGGGCGGAGGGGAAACCTGCATGTAACTGTGGAAAAACACCTGGAAGATTGTCATAATGTCCCACACTGTCATAATGCCATCACCTGCAGGGAAGGGAGGGAGACTGGGGAGGGATAAAGATTCACAACACCAGAGAGTCATCACTGAATTTATTTTATTTTAAAGATATCTATGTACATCAAGTAAATACACACGGGGGTTGGTGCGGTTTGGTTTGTCGTCCACGCTGGCATGCAACATTTTGGCGGAAGTGAGTGAGCAGGCCAGGTGCCCCAAGTGGAGACCCTGGCTCTCTGAAAGGAAGGGGGCGAGGGGGCGAGGGGAGGGGAAGGAGGAGGACGGCCGAGTGAAGCTTCTGGTGAAGGCTTTGTGTGTTCCTTGTTTACGTAAGTGAATTCTATTTCCCTTACATCTTGCTCAAGAGAAGGCTGCTCCCTCTGTCACCTCTCTCCTCATCTGCCCAACACAGAATCATTTGGTGGCAAGAAGACATAAAACCCACTGGAGCCTCGGGGGCCCTGCGGGCCGATATGAGCACAAGTCTCCAGGTACACAGCAATCTTCCTTCCTCTTTACCGGGGTCTGGAGACGGCGTGGCTCGCTGACCCCACTCTTTCCCTCTTTGCTTGGGGCAGGGGAGCCAGATTACATCCCTTTCCTCTGAGCAGTGGTTTTCAAACTACTCTACAGGAACCCTTGGGGTCTCTTAGGACCGTTCAAGGGCTCCTCAACTAATGAACCATTTTCCATCAAACAGTAGAAATGCAAAATGCCCAGCTCTGCATCACTTCTAGTTACTCTTTATATCAGGGTTCTATTATGAGATTGGTTCTGAAAAACATTTGAATATCACCGCCTTGGATTTATTCCATACCCCTCTGGTGTATTTTTTTTCCCTGCATTTCTCTTTAGTTGCTGAAAGGCCCAACAGGCAAAGGGAGAAGGGACTTCTTCCCTTGACGGAGTCATGGGCCACGACAGCCTGTATTTACCAGCTGGCACTCACACTGAGCTTTCTTTCCTGGTTAAGAAACTAGGTGATGGGTGGTCTGCTACCCTGTTCTTCCATCCCAGATGAGACAGGCTGTCTGGACTCTTTCTTGATTTGGACTGGCTTGTGACCTCCACTCTGCACCCCTGCAGTTACCTGGAAAGCCCCCTTAGCACCATGTGGTAGGAAAGGATATGAAAACAAAACCATAGTCCTGTCAATTACATGGGAGCAGGGGAGGCCCCCCCCCCCATATCCCGGGTCCAGCCCTTGGGCTCCTCCACCTCTGGAAAAGTTGCCCTGCCCCTTTCTTTAAAGTGCACTTAATGCCTGATAAGGACATTATAGAAGGAATTCTTTGAAAAAAAGTTTTTTAATGTATATCATCAGGGAAAAGTCAGGCTCCAGTCTGAAAGGAAGGCATTTCGAGATAGCTATTTTGCCAGTGAACTGGAAGCCCCCACACCAAAGGTGGAGACATGGAAGAACATGCAGCCCAATATGGGACAGAGAAAGGAATCCAGCTCATCACTACGGCAAAAAACACTTAGTAATTTTCCAGCCTGTCTACCCCCCCAAAGCCAAAGAAGCAATCCTACTGCTTCTGCTTGGCTAGAACTATCCCTGTGGACAGCTGAGCAACCATCTGATAGACTGTTGGGAAGAGGTTGGCCTCCTTAACTTTGCAAAATCATTTTAAGCAGCTTTGGCTTCTAGTCAGGAGCTCTGGGATAGAGAATGTCAATAGGAGTTTCAGGGAGAAAGGGAAGTGGTCCCTTGAGCAGTCCATGTTCTTGGTTTTCTAGGAGGAATAGGAAGGAGGCAAAAGGCAGACTTCAAGGGGCAGAGGTGCACACCCAGACCCCTCGGTTCAGGTGAGGGGTGTCTGAAGAAAATTCTCTGTATAATTCAAGCAGTCCTTCCATTTTATCCTCCTCTGTGCTAAACGTGGAAGAGGAGGGAAGGAGAGGCTATTTCTGTATCTTATGATGCTAAGACATTCTTCTGCTTAAGGCTTCGTGTGCATGCGTGTGTGCGTGTGTGTGTGTTTGTGAAGGATCACAGCCCTCTAGCGCCCATTTTCCTTTTTTTAATCATCTCCATGACTAACACCACTCAGTGTGAGAGACGCATATATGAGAGAGAGAAGA